ATAGATTCTTAGCACAAATAAGCTTGTCATAGATTCAACTTTTTCCATTAAAATTTATCATAGATTCAATTTGAATATTTATAATCCTTATAAGTTGTTTTTTTTTTTTTTTGAAATCTAAGTTTATTAAAAATTAAATGTTGAAATACTAAGTTTTGAGTTGAGCTAAACAAATTAATTGTTAAATGAGTTGTGGATAAATTTGTTAATAAAAAATTAATTTTAAAACAAATACTTTTAACATTATTATTTTTAATTCATATAAAATTTAATTGTAATTATGTATATATCATGTATAAGTCAAGGTTATCGAGTTCATATTCATCAAAAATAGTATTAGGCACACATTAACCAATCCAAAGACTTGGAAGTCAAAGTCGTCCTCCATGCATATTTTTTTCTCTGAATATATTTCAAGCTCCACTTCAAATAGTCCATTATCTAAAATTTTTAAAATAGAATTGGTGCAGCAAAGGGATTGCATTATCTCCATACAGGTGCGAATCGCACGATCATTCACCGTGATGTAAAGTCCACCAATATTTTATTGGACGAGAAATGGGTGGCTAAGATTTCTGATTTTAGATTATCCAAACAGGATCCCATAGATGCGGGCCATAACCACATCAGCACAATGGTAAAGGATAGTTTCGGATATTTGCATCTAAAATATTATAAACGACAACAATTGACGGAGAAATCGGACGTGTACTCATTTGGGGTGGTTTTATTTGAGGTTTTATGTGGTAGGCCGGCTATAATTCTAGATTGACCCGAGGAGCAAGTGAATTTGGCTGAGTGGGCCCGACATTGTTATAAAAATGGGACCCTTGATCAGATTGTTGACCCTAATATAAGGGAGGAGATTGCGCCAGAGTGCTTGAAGAAGTTTGGAGAATTAGGTGATAGTTGCTTGCGTGAAAATGGGTTCAAACGACCAAGAATAAATAATGTTTTGTGAGGCCTTGAGTTTGCTTTGCAACTTCAAGAGGAGGTTGAGATGATGGGTCAGAGTGGCGGTGGTGGTGGGTTACTCCCTCTACTCCTCCTCTGCATGGAGAATTAACGACCAACGACGATGAAAACGTGTTAAGATCAACGGCCAACAGTGACAAAATAAAAAATAGGACTCTATTCTCAGAAATCATGAATCCTATGGGTTGATGAGAAGTGAAATGTTCTTGGGGTGGGTCCTACGTGAGGTTCCAGATTTTTGATCTTCACTTTGACTGACTTTTGAAGAGTAAGTACTTTATGCCATTTAGCTTACGTTGGTGGTCTTCTTGTTTGAGTTATTTACCGCAATAGAATTGTTTTTTAAACTTATTTATCTATACACAACATTTTTGAAATTAGACTACGATGTTTTTTAAAAGTGGGATTATTGATCTTGCTTCCATTTTACAATGGAGTTGTTGACTCCTTTTTTTTAATTAACAAAAAAATAGATTACATTGTTACAGAAATTACGGAGTCCTATATTGAGGACAATTTCAACATTTTGTGTGAAACAAAAGAATTGCTCTGATACAATGATTTAGTATTTCTATTTAAGATCAGCGAACGTTGTTTCTTTCTTTAAGCAGCAAAGAAAGTCGACATCACTCTATTAGCATCGACAATTAACGGTAAGGATTTTGTTTGTTATTTATTTATTTTACTTAAAACCATCAAAACTTATAATATATACTAATAAGCTTTTTGTTCAATGATATTTCTTACTTTGTGAATGATTTGTTTTTTTTGAAGTCAATGATTCAAGTCTTTTCTCTTTCTCCCCCAAAAAAAAATTATATTGCATAAACCCTATTTGTATTGTAAATTATGTAATAATCTTTTATGATAAATCAAATGTATGTTAAAATTGAAATTAATTTTATTCTAGCAATTTTTATCATTTACATTAAATTTCTGTATAGTGTCACACTATGAAGTCACTCTATAGCAAATTTAAAAATTCGGTTTAGATAAATTTTCAAAATTTGGGGTAATGTTTGGATTCATTTTTTGTTGACATACTATTTATAAACTGTATGTAATGAGTAGCAATTTGAAGATTTTATATTTATTAGTGAATTCACTCTTTATTATCACACTATTTTGGTGACTATATGAATGAGTATATTTTTTCTTATTTTGGGTGTTTATGCGTGAATTTGCTCTTTATTGTCATACTTTTACCTTAACTTTGTGAACTGAATACCAACTTTTAAAATTTTAGATTATTTGAGGATTCACTCTTTGTTGTCACACTATTACATTAGTTTCTTGAAAAATTATGTACTGTTTTTCATAGTTTGTGTGCGTTAATTGTGTATTCATGCTTTGTTGTCACTCTTTTACCCTAGTTTTGTGAATTGAGTGCCAATTTTCAATTTTTTGTATTTATGTGTGGATGCACTCTTTTCTTCACATTATCACAATTACTTATTGAATTGAGTACAATACCATAAAGTGAAAAATTGATTTTATTGCTTGTCCACTACAGAAATTGCTTTGTGTTCATATAGAGACACTATAGAGCGACAACTGATTTCATGGCTTGGCCACTATATAGTACAACAAATATTGGATTGTGTCATAGAGAGACAACATAGTGACAAACTGATTTCATGCCTTTGTCACTACAATTACAAACAAACATTATACCATCCTTTGTCACTCTATTATACTAGTTTTTTTTTTTTTTTTTTGTGTTATGTATAGATTCACTTAGTTGTTATCATATTATTACATAAGTTGAATAACTTTTCCTAAGACATGGCAAAAACAAGGTTGTCTTCTAAAAATAAATATGAACTCAAGCATAGGGAACCAGTGACAGCACAAGACGTTGAAACATCGCAACAAAAGGGTTTATAAAACATTAATCAAAGTGAAGGAACCATGAATGTGGGTAAATATGATCCACAATATAAAACAAAAAGATCCAATGTGTGGTAGTTGAAGAAAATGTACTCCAATTACAACCTGTTTCGAAAAAAAATGTCTTTATGCATAAGATAACGTCGATTTGATTCAGTTACAACTTCGAACAAACGTAAATGATTAACGAAGATAGATTTTGTTGTTAGTTTGAAAAAAAAATTCAATAGCTTAAGAACAAACAACAAAAAAAAAAGGTAATTAAATGAAAATTTCGCACCTGATAATGAAGAAACAACAATGGCTAAACAACACACAATGCCAACCTTTAGTTTGCAAAATATCAATGACTAAATAATATGAAGTTCGGTTTTTAATGACAGAATTTTTGAAAAAACCCAATTTCTGGTTCAAAAAAAAAACAATGGCCGAATAACACACAATTCTGGTTGCTATTTCGCAAAATGTTAGTGGCTGAATAATATGAAGTTGGACCATTAATGACAGAATTTTTGAGAATTAATTTTTAAAATTCAAACGATTTCTGAAATTTCAAAAGTTTGAAAATCTCTTGTATAAGATTTACATACTTGAAAAAAAAGAAAAATATTTATGCATGAAATAAGTTCGAGGTAATTAGGTAATACACCCCAAAAAAAAAAAAAAACTGTAATGTGTACTTGTTGATCGAAATTTTAGACATAAAATGACTTAAAAGATTAAAAGTCTAAGTTATGTGCTTACAATCAAATACATTCTTCAAGGTGTACCCACAATTAAATTTCCATAAAGAATAAAGACGGTCTTTGATGGGCTTGCACGTTGAAAGTAATATGTACTTCGGCCAAGAGCTTTCGAAATTACTTGTAATAAGTGTTTAAGGGAGTAAAGCAAAAACCAGTTTTTGTTCCTCTCTTTATTTTGTGGTGTGATTAATCCAAGTTTATGGTGCCTTCGTTTGGCTTGATGAAACAGGGGTGAGCGGCCCAAGGTAACGTGGGGTCTTAGACAAAAATTTCATATGACACCTTATTAATATTTTGTCTATTAATATATTATATTTTTAATTATTATAATTTTTTATTTCTTTAAAAATTATTTTTATTTATTTTTTAAAATATAAAAATATTGATCAAGTTTTTATATTCAAGTTTTGACAATAATTTTTTTTAATGGATAATATAGTTAATTCATTCACTCTCAGTTGATCATAAATAAGATTTTATCAATTTAAATTTTTAATAAGTAATTTAATAATAAATTATGTGAAAAAAATTATAATTTTAAGATAACAAAGAATTATTCTTTACCCATGGGTAATGTACACGCATGAAATACAAAACCTTGATAACACTTACAATTTAAGCATAAATTATTTGAATTAAAAATGATATATCTATATAATAAATTAGCTAGATATTTAAACTTATAAAAGTATATTTTCCCTCTAAAATTTCACACATCCAACACCAACTTTTTTTTCCCAAATTTCACAAACCCAATACACACTCCACAACACACAGGTACACACACTTCAACCCAGAGTGCACACACGTACACACGCAATATATACACACTCGAATTGTACACACATTATAATACACACAGCTATACACACACACACACATATTATATATACACTCTAACTGTACATATATTCTAATATCGCTAGTACGTAAATATCATACAATTTAACACACATAATTAATTTTAGTTAATTAGAAAGAAAATTAATCTATCAATTTTTTCATCCTTCTTATTTTTTTTGCTTATAACGCATGATATTTTATTTGTCCATCTAATTTTTTATTTTTCTATTTTTAATCGTACCCAATAAAACATTAGTGTTAATTAATTTGCTTTATGATCCGTCTTTGGCAAAACATATATTATTTTCATATTAAAATATTTATAAAGAATAAATTTCTCGTAAGTGGAGTAAGAATGACCAAAGGAGAGATTATTCTCACAGTTGCAAGACTAATTCAAAACTAATCGGGTCCGGTCTTGTTCAATCTCACCTTGTTATCCTCAATTTTGAAGGATTGGTCTGGTTTCGTAACCAAACATGCCCAATAGGTCATTTGCTATAGCAGGGGGTGTTTGGGTTCAGCGCCAAAGGAGATGCGCGAAAGATGAGCAGCAGTAGGAGAGGGCAGCCACCAAAGCACCAAAACGCGTACGCCTGGAAACCCAACGCCGGTCGCAAGATCAACGAAACCGTACTCTCTCTTTCTCTCTCACACACACACTCTTTCTCTCTCTCTTTGGCCCGATATAAATTGCTAATATATGTGTATATCACCGACGACAGGAAGTGGGAGGCAAGTTCAGGCCGTACTCGGAGATCACCGGAGTGTGCTCTCGCTGTAAAGATCAAATCGAATGGAAACGCAAGTACGGCAAATACAAACCCCTCATCGAGCCCGCCAAATGGTAATTTTGTGTTTAATCTTTTCAATTTCTTCCATGTAATTGTAAATTCATTCGGTTACTTCATTAAGGATTGTTGAGTGAATTAAAATTTGAAAATTTTTACCAGCCAACGATGTTCTAAACGAACCGTTCGTCAGGCTTATCACAATCTATGTCCTGGTTAGTTTTCAATTTTAGTTTTCTTGTCATAAGATTTAAGGCCTTGTAAGCATAGAAAACATGTATGATTTTTTTTTCTTTTTGATTTTTGTTAACTCAATGTAGCTTGTGCTAAGGAGCAAAATGTCTGCGCAAAGTGTTCGTGCCAAGTTGGGCAGATAATTGGGAGACAAGCCTTGTTTTATGCATATTATAGAATTATATAACATTGATAACGAAAATTCCCTTAAATTGCTTCATTTTCTAGAAGGTAATAATGCCAATGCATTCAATATATTGTCGAAAGTGCTGAGTATGCATATATGTTACTGACTTGCAGAGATAGTTCAGAAGTGGAGGCTGAGCAAAAGACACTTGAGGAGGTGGTTTATTGTTTGGAGACTGTTCATAAGTTTATTGTTTACAGTTTATTTATTTTTGGTTTTTGATTCAGTGCTGATGTATTGCATATATGTGATAGGCCATTAAGAATGCTCGAGAGAGGGACAGAAGAACTCTACTACGAGCTGTAAGACCCAATATCATTGCCCTTCAGTTTTTATTTTAAGATGAATTTTAGATTCGGCATCTTTTTCTTAGTTTTTTTTTGTCAATTTGCTAAATGCTACGTTTAGCAGCATTGGAATTTACTGCATGAAATTAAAAATTAGAGCAAAGTCGGTACAGGTTTTGAATTGGTTCTTTTTGAATGCCTGGGCATTGTTTATACCAATTTAAAAGGAGAAAATATTGTCAAATTGTAAGACTCTTTCATGATGAATACTTGTAGTGATGGCTTGCAAGAGCTAACGCATCTGATGTTGTCAAAAAATGTTGTTCATATGTTTTTGAGGGATAAGTCACTAAAGTAAAATTAATATTCTTGCAAGCATAGATTCACAATACAAAGGTTATAGTATGTAATTCATATGCATCTGCATCTAGCGTGAAAAATAAAAAAATACAGTGAAACTGGCATAATGAAGCATCTAGATGGCAAAAATTATGGTTTTAAAGCCAAGTATACCATTTTGAATAAGAGAATTATGAGATTAGGTTTTGATAGTGGCTCCATGTAGGTTTGTTATTACAAAACTTTCATCAATATGTTGGCGATGGTATAATATCACAAGGAATTATCCTTAACGGGCCAGATGCAAGATCTTTCTTAAAATTTATGGTCAACACATGGATGTACAGCTCATCAGATTGAGCAAAGTTGGTGTTCATACCTGTCCGTTCTCAAGACATTGTAATTAATACATCTTTTGAAGTGGTTGCATATTTCGAATGAAATAGTTACCAGTAGGGCTTTTTACTTGATGGAGCTAGAAGGCGAAAAAAAAAAACTTAGAAGTGGTTCTTTCATAATTTGGTTGAAATTGGTGGTTCTTGAGCAAGTGGGAGTAGTTCTTGTTTTTCTTACTATTTTAGTTAACGAATAGTATGTTTTGGTGTCAAAAGACTCAAAATATACAAGTTTACTCAAATTGCTTGGTTGTGTAGTACCTGAAAGAAGTTTTAGGATGTGGTTATGGATTGTTTTGGCAGGTCTAGTTCCTAGGCCGTGAGAGACCAAGGACACTTTTTTTCGGACCAAACTTCTGTCACCAGATGACTGCATCTTTTAACTGGATTGGTTGATCAGCCAAATTTTTGAACTTTATGCGATTTTTTTTTGGGATCCTGTTTATTTAGAACATTTTTAATTAGTATTGAGATGCATTAGTTTGCATGAGCTTTGTATTAAGAGTTTGGGATGACAGTTTGCATGCAGACATTTCGCTGAATGCATTTTGCTTTCATTGTTAACTTCTAAAAGCAATAATGTGATAAAATCCTTTTGTAGATATCTTTTTTTGAGACAGACAAACTACAACACAACTCCTTAAAAGGAGAAGTGCCATAGCCTGTCATAAATACACACACACACACCCTAAGGCTATCCGATGTGGGATAGCCCCCGCTCATCGATCCACTCAGGCCCATAGGCCTCCCCGTACTTTGAAACGGGCCTAAAGTGGGATGCAGCAGAGCCCACACGGGATCACCCTGGAAAGCACACAGTTGTTTTTGAGACAGACAAACTACAACACAACTCCTTAAAAGGAGAAGTGCCATAGCTGTCATAAATACGCACACACACACCCTAAGGCTATCCGATGTGGGATAGCCCCTAGATATCTTCATAATACTGTTTTTACTTTGCCAATTGCAGCATGCTCCAAATTTTTTTTTTTCATTTTTGTGTTATTAAATGCTATAATTTCTGAGTGCTTACCCCAATTTATTGCAACAGATGAACAAAGGAAAGACTAATTCAGCTAAAACGCCTGTCAACAACGAAAGCAAAGCTGGGGAATTGTTGGCAGTTTCCTCACTTGAGAAATTCACAGAATTAAGCAGGGATGATGAGAAGGAGGAGGAGGAGGATGACGATGAAGAAGAAGATGAGGACCAAATTATTAACTGAAAGGGGGCCTGAAAAATAATTCAAGTGAAATTTTCGGTATGTGATGCTCCAACCAACACCCTTCATACTTGTTCGGTACGGATTAAGCTTTTGTTGCCTCTGTATTGACAGTCACGACAAATTTCATGCTGATATCGAAAATAGGAGTCTTTTTTTTTGTTGGGGGGGGGGGGGGGGGGTATAGTTTTGATTTGCCTCCTTCCTCCATTTTAATTGATGCGAGTTATTTCTTTTTTCTTTCTTTCTGAACGACAGTGTGTCCGATGTAGTGTTAGTAGCACCATATGAATTATGATGTAAAGATTTAGGTGTTTAGTTACCAAGTGATGGAAGTTTCAAAGTGCTCTTCAAGACGAAGGTGTATCAAACGCATGCTTCAAATTCAGAAATTAAGACATTCATTTGAACTATGATGCATAATTATGTTTCACTTTTTTTTGCACTTAAGTTTCTTCATATCAAAAGCCAAATTTTGCATTCTTCATAAATTCCCAACTTCCGTACCAAAATCCTAAGAGTAATGTTATTAGAACTTTAAAAAATGACCTAATAAGTTGTGAGAGAATGATGGAGAAGTCTAACACGTTCACGTTACAATTATAACGATCCTATTAGATCATATCACTCTCATATCATTATGTCAGTAAATCATATTAGTTTTTTAGGTTCAAATGTCATTACTCAAATCCTAATATTGCAGTCTTTCATGAATCCTCAGCAGCTGATTATCGCAACAATTAACCGTCCAAGCATGAAATAGAGCTTTTCGGCTTTCTTGCACATTCATTTTCTACATTTTTGGAAAACTAAAATCCTGGCGATCTCCCAGAAATGAAGAGCTTGTGTCCTTGCGTATCATAAGCTGTGCTATTTGTCATGTGTTAATTACACAGTTATAAATTAGAGTGTAAAACAACCTAACCTACACACAACTGGTTACTCTTTCCTGTCTTTTCTTCTCTCCTTCTTCTCTTGCTTTCTGTAACCCTAATATCAGTTTTTATATTCCAACTTCATGAAAGTTCAGCAATACATCAACCTCAGGCCAATCTCTCTCTCTCTCTCTCTCTCTCTCTCTCTCTCTCTCTCTATATATATATATATATATATATATTATATATGTGGTATTTTTAAGTTTAATGGAAATGAATGCAATTGGAAGATAGGAAGTCATGGAAAATTATTTGAAATTGGTGACACTATTACAGCCTTACATTTGATACAACATGACGTAAATAATTTTACAACAAATAGAGATTAATCCTACAAGCTTCGAATTAATTGTTCAACTAATCCATTTATAATAATAGCAAATGGGTTTGCTCCCAGTAAAAAATGCTGCAATGCTGTGACCCTGTTATGGTATTTGGAGTGAAAAGTAAGAATTTGAGTGTATTAACACAGACATCTTCGAATAAGTATTCCAAATCCAGGCAGCTACAATAAAAATCTTGCTGTCCCTTGCTAAGAAGAAGCAATGGTGGCAGGTCTCTGGGATGAATCTATTCATCCTTTGAACACAATCGCTCTGTATAAACAGAAAAGATAAACACAGTGAAACATAGTTTTGTTGAGTAATTTGCTTGACAATCAAATAGAGAAACTTGTTTCAGCTGTGCGTGTGTGTGTGTGAGAGAGAGAGAGAGAGAGAGAGAGACTAGATAGCAATGTTTTCTCAAATTATCATGGCTGTTGTTGCTACTGCTGTTGTTGCATTCCTAGATCTAATTAACTTCTTAAGGTAAATATGAAGTAACCATATTTTTTACTGCTTCGATATTAAAAGAGCAATCAGTTAAAAAATTCATTAAAAATTTTTAATGATCAAAATTTCGTTTTGATACATAATTTCGGTTAGCTTGAAAAAAAATATTTCATAAACAATCTAAACATTTCCAAAACAAAATGAAAATAAAGAGAAATTTTGAAAACTTGTTTGCAAAACATTCCTTGCAAAAAATCGAAACACTTCGAAAAATAGGAATTCTAATACACAATGAATGATCTGTTTTGCTTTCTGTAGAAACAGAACTATTTCAAACATTTCAATCGTTCCGAAATGAAATTTAGCTGCTTGAAAATTCCATCAGGCCGGAATGAGCACGCAGAAGAGGACATACAACGGATGGTTTTCTAAGATGGCAGGATCTTAAGACAAAGCTAGAGATTACTATAACAGCCTATAAGTCCCCAAATTAAATAGTCTCTCCATGGTTTAAACACAACCATGGATATTTAGATTCTCAGCTAGGGTCAGGTAAACATTAGCCCAAGAGCTATTGAGCCAAGAATAAACACAAGAAACCATTAGTGGTTATCCATCCACCTTCCAGAATCTGCCGGAGGTTCAAACCTTCTGTCCAGTAACTCATGATAATTCCTCTCAATAAAGGCCATGATGATAATAATAAATGATAGAAAAATGGTGTGAAAGAATGAAAAGTCCTTACTCAGATATTCATAGGAGAGTATCATTGACGTTCCCCATGCTGACATGCTGAAAAACCTCGGACCCAATCCTCTATATAATCCCGTCCAACCTTCATCTGCAATCAGGCTTTTAACTACTTGTCTTGCCGTGGGTCTCTTTTCATGTCCCATCACCTATGATGCAGAAACAACTATTCAGACAGAAGAATCAAACATTAGAAGGTACTTGGTGGCATGCAGAACTGCAACCAGAAAACTATGACACTGAATGCACCTTTACAGATAAAAGAGTGTCCAGTGAGTACATTTACTTATTTCATCGTGATGGGAAGGTGTGTCTGACATGAACTTGCGAGAGTGTCTGTACTCTGTACTATATTGGCACTTGGGTTTCTCAAAGAACATTGACCACCTAGGGCTTCTATTTTGGCATGCTCTATCTTAAGCTTCCATTGCTTTTAGGAACACGAACTGTGGAAGGGAACAAATCTTATGGATGCTGTAGCATGTTGCAGAAACCTGCACTACTCCAAGTATTTACTTAAAGACTTGGTATGCTGATTTTGAAGGCAAAAAACCAGACCAGTACAGGAATAAGATGATTATAGTCTTGAGAAGAAAAGGATCATACATGATACAAAGGGTATTATATCATGTAGACGAGTCTGGTCATTCTGTAGAATTTAAAACCAGTACCATTATGGCTAGTTGAGTAAGGTAATATTTCTAAGCTGAGTTATATTCAAACCAAAAAAACAGAGCTGAGCAGAACGAACAAAATTCATGAGACTAAAGAGTTCATTTTCTGTACCTGTAAGCGAGTCTTAATAGTGTCCAATGGTGTCGTGATGGAGGATGCAGTAGCACCAGCGAAAATCCCTCCAGCAGCTTGAACCGACACTAACGTCCACTGGCTAGGAGTAGGTTCATCATGCTCAGTGCCTTGACCTAAGAGCCTGCCCGATGCATATTAAATGCTGACAAGTTAGTTAAGATAGCAGGCAATTTATACATTAATTTAAAAAAAAAAAAAAAAAAACCATTGTTGATGAAAAATATAATGCAACCCAACAGCAACACATCAATACACCAGCGCCTCATCTATCCATGTCTGAGAGATTATTTCATAAAAAAAAGGGATACTAATGATACTCAGACGACTGAAGATTCACAACTACAGTTATCAAACCAGGCTGTGGATGTATGAACTTGTGTTTATTATTTAAGATTATCTAGTTACCCCAGCACGCCCTAAAGTCTAAAGGAATATCATGGACAAAGTCTCCACTTACAAGCTCCTATAATACATTCAGCATTGATTGAAAATAAACCAGCACGGCTCACATCTAACCAGCACGGCTCACCTCCAGATGAACCGTTGGCTAGATCCATAGCTTGCCCACCATACAGCACTAGATGGAGAATAAGTCATAACAGATAGACCAAACCCTCTATATAGTCCTCGAATGCCATCTGACTTTAGAATCTTACGAGCAACATCCAAGCCCCCATTATAGTGCGCATGCCCTGAATACCCTTGCACCATCAACCGTTGGCTAACCTGTTTAAATCCATCACTGTTGAGATTAGCCTAGTAAAGTAAATTTCCATAAATGCTGTTAAGCGCAGTAAAATATGCCAAAATCAACAACATGCTCTATGATGCGAGATTGAGAAGAGATGAAACATTTTGACATAAGAAAAATGAAAAAAGAAAAGAAAAGAGAATTGTGATAGCACAACAACGAAAAGTTTTGAAAAAAAAAAAAGAAAAGAGAATTGTACTGGTAAAAGTAAAACACTTTCATTTCTTATGTTTCCAGCTTACGTGGACTTGACAACTCAAGATAGGGATTGAGAACTAACAAGGTGTTAAAATCGCTTTCATATCTGCTTTAGGTAATATGTTATAATTCGCAAAGTGATGTCAGCACACTATACTCACTGATTGGGACATTCTCCTGCTGCCCATCAAATAATTAGCCCATTAAATCAATTATTATACAATGTGAAAGGACAGTAAAATGCTCATAAAAAACATGGAAGCTTACCACATCAACCGGAACAAACAAAGCCTGAGAACAAAGGGATGCTGCCATGCCAGCAATTCCATTTGCAATGGCTGCCTTTGCAGGTTCTGAAAATTTGAACGGTTCAATCATCCCCAAAGCAGACACTTTTGTAGTCTCTAGTGCAGTAAGAAATATAATCCTGACAGGAATTGCTCCAGTAATGACTGTGCCGAAACCCCTGTATAAACCAGGAATCCCATCTGTTCTCAGTATGCCTCTGATAACTGAAAATACATTCCTCTCAACAGCATCCTTTGAAGCAACCTGCAGCCTAGTCTTGACAAGAGAAATGGGATAAAGTGCAACCGTAACACCCGTAAATATTCCAGCTCCTACGAGATAAAACTTACTTTTATCAAGCCTGCACGATAAGTTGGAAGACATGAATAAAATAACATATATAGAAAATCACAGCAGGACGGAGAAAACTTATAAAGAGCAGGAAATTCAGAAAGAAAAGAAAAAAAGCAACAAATACAACATTGCAGGTGTGCGAATGGAGTGAAAAAACTGGGATCCACCATAAAAAGGGTTCCGCGTTGGCCATTCATAGGGTAATTAAGTAACGTAGCCGAAATTAGGAAGTTTACTTGAGGTCCTCTCAACTGTCTTCTTTTTGGCATAAAACTGATTTGTGATCCTGTCAACTGACTTCTTTATGGCATAAAAATGATATTTGCTCCTACGCGAGTAATAGTAACAAAAACGCAACCAAGACTTGGACCATAAGCCTCTCTCTAAAGCTGTAGTTGCAGATCAATCCAAAAACTGCTTTAATCGGATTTTCCACCCAAAACCAACAATGTTAACACTTCTACTCATCAACTAAAGTATAGGCATACTCCAGACAGAGTTTGATTATTTGCTACTGAAAAATAAAGTCATTTAAGAATGTCTCCATATTGGTGTAGATTACTCATACTCCAATGCATCTTCAAATGGCATAGAAATACCTATGCTTAGCAAAGTATAGATATCCGTTAACACACCCTCTTAAAAGAAACCTTCAAATAACTAAATATATACCGGAATGTCTCTTAGTAATGAGTCTAATGACTAATGGCTGCTCGCGTGATTTGGAATAGAGTAATATCTTCTATGTAAAATATAAAGTAACTTCATCTAAGAACTTCTAATTGAAATATGAATATTTACTAGATTGTACAAAAATGTCGTTTTTGCATCAATCCAAAGTATAAGAAAGATTTTATAAGTTTAAAAAGTTCATCCATCATTGGTGGTGAAGGCTCAATAGGGTCAGCCATAGGAGCAACCTAGTTTATACTCTCTAGCTCTGCCGCTGGTGCTATTTTCTCCGCTTCATATGGATTTGGAATCAAGCGTGATGATATGCTGCAATGGGTGCTGCTTAAACTGCCATAACGAAGCTTAGTCATCGCCATTGTGTTCGGTCCGCCCTCTCACTACAACTTGGCTTTTGGACCTTTCCCTCTAGTTAGCTTAGCTTGTCCCACGGGACTCCTAATATTTATTTTTTTGAATCCTCTTTTTTCTATAAGATAATTTAAACTTAACTGAACTTCCTTCAAAACGCTCATTCAAGCCAAAGAGATTTATCTATGGAACAACCATAAAACGAAACTCTTTTTGTGATCTTTTATACATATCAAAATCCACACAACTTAATTCAATAAAATAATAAAACACGTAACAAATCAAAATAATAGATACATTTCATATATGAAACCATTTCAAAATAAAGAAATTTGGCCTTTTTTTTAACTCTAATATGTGTTTGTTGAAATCGATACTTTAGATCCAAATAGATCACATTTGTAAATTATTTCTTTTTTGTCAATTGACCTTTCTTTTTAGATATACTCCAACTGAATGCCCCATGGTGCATCCTTGTGGTTGGCCCCAGTCTTTCTATTAGTAATCAAGCTATCCTTTGACCATCTCCACCCTGGAATCTATCACCTTCTCACAATGTTCACAAATCATAGCTACTCTTTGGTAAATTCTCCGTCTTTATATTTTATCAAAGTTCATGGGGTGCCATGAAACTAAAATCCCTGTTTTGTTGCATTAAATGCTTAGCAGATTCTCTGGTGTCCACAAACTTTGTTTCTGCTGTTAGTACACTACTCATTGGCTTTGCCAAAAAGACAATCACATAGATATAGAAAAGCACAAAACATACATAGTAGCTGTTTATCCACTGATTACAGAAGTATTGGCAAAATTAGTCGTCCAAACAATACTCTATGCTAGTAAATAAAATTTTAATTCATAGCTTAATTGGAGCCCAAACCTCACATTTTTTAGCAGCACTGCCTACAAAGCCTTGATCATAAGCTATGCAAGATGAAGAAAATGAAATCGACATAACCACATTTCCGGCCAAGATATCAAATCGATTTTGTAAGTCAATTATCGACATTTTAAAATGTACCTGATATTTATCTTTCACAATGGCTTTTTTCAATGCTCCTTTCGATAAAGAAAACCAAATGTTTCCATAATCAACACCATCATTATATACAAACATATACATACTACATTCATATGGAAAGCCGAAAAATTTCATTGATATATCAAAAGACAGAAGTGCATTGAACAGGAAATGAGCTGAAAACAGAAAAAAATTAACTAAATGTAGTTAAAAGTGAATAAAACCTAAACAGATGAAGAGGAAGCAGATCAAGGAAATTTACTTATCCCAATTAATCTCGGTTTGACCGAGCGACGCACTTTGAGTAGTAGCAGAATCCATTGAAGCCCAATTACAATCCAGGGAAAAAAAATTAAACCCTAATAAGTATAGATTCTCATAAACCAAACAAATCCGAAACGATGCTCGAAAATTCCTCCGTTCCAGAGACCAACTACAAATGGTTCTTCTCCGCTTCTTCTATAGAATTGGAAAATAAAATTTTTTTTTTTTGTTATGAAAACATTGCATTGACTGCTAATATCTTCAAGGTTTTCGCTTTCTACAAGTTTCTTGGAGCGAACCTAAACAATAAAAAGAAAGAAAACCGAAATTCATTCTATTCAAAAGTGGCAGCTCACACGCGCTTTGTGGTTGGAGGGCGGAGGGCGGAGAAGCTGCCTAGGAGTTGAACCCCATCATTTCAACCTATCAAAACTCGGTCAAAACTTGGGAGACATTTCTTAATTCCAATGTGAGTTTTGAGCACGTGACTGCCTCTCCTCCTTCCCATTGCCTCTGACGGCTCAACCTCCCTTCACTGCCCTCTGCAATTTGATTCAAATGTGAAACAATTTTTGTTCACAAGATATGAAAATTTTTTGATTTTCTATTTTAGTATCTTACATAGAAAAAAAAAATTTATTTATTATTTTACAGTTATAAAAAATTATAAAAATTGACATGTTTTTTATCTTTAAATATATAGATTACTATTATATTCTTCTTTTTTTTTAAATAATAAACTAACTTCTAATACGTCGTATAAATTCCTATCTTTGTAAAACTTTTAAATGGTCATATTTTTTATATTAATATACATTGATAATTTCATTGATACAATATTATCTTTTGTGCCAAAAAATTAATATATATATATCTTTTATCTTATCCATAATACAAACAATTTAAATATGACAAATATGTGATAATATCTAATTTAACTATATAATTAAATTTTTATATATTTTAACAAAAATTTTCATGTGTAAAGCACATGTTGTATTACTAGTACTTATAAAAATTACCCAGGTAAAATACGCGGTGAAATTTTAGTTTCGACATTAAATAGTGATGTAATGCTGAGAGGCTATGTTTCCTCGCGAACACATGGAATAATCTGTATGTATATCTATTTTATGTACAAAAAAAAAGGGACTAAATATTATTGCAAAAAAGAAAAAGAAGAAAATCAGCTAATAACTGTCGTTTACAGTTGTATGAAGGACTTTAAAAAGTGTAGTGAGTCCAAAAGTCAAGGTTGCATTTGAGAAAAAATCAGCCACCACTCACCTGTCTCTCTCTCTCTCAATCAATCAAGGAAATTCATCAGGCTCTGCAGCGAGAAATTGAAATGGGGTTCAGATCTCTAACCAAATTCACCGCTTTCACCGTTGTGCTGGTGTTCATGCTTTATTGCTTCACCTTTAGATCGACAGGTTTGCACATTTCTTCTTTTGTCTACCGAATCTGCATAAATATTGGGTTTTATTTTTTAAAAGTTGTTTCTTGCTGTTGTTAGTGGCTTTTTGCCACTTGAAAAGATTTGGTTTCATTTTAATAAAGACTGACTTTTTCTGGCTTTATTGACTGGTCATTGAGAAACATTGAGTGATTGGGAAAGTATGCTTCAGTAACTGAAGATGAGAAGCGAAGAAATGGACACATTATAGTGTATTTAGTGTACGAGACTCTTGACATTATGAGATTTGAAAAGAGGGTTATATGTGCAAGTAAACTCTTGACATCTGGAAAAAGGGTTATATGTGCAGTAAACTGGTTCCGTGATTCGAACCCGTCACGTCAAGTCCCAATAAAGAACATTACCGTTGTAGCTCATAATTGATTTTTCATGAACTGTGTCGAGGGGATTCTATACATTTCTTGGCCTTTAGGCTAAGATCAATAGTCAATGGGATTCCAGAATCATATATACACACATTATACTTTCCTTTATGGTATTCCTATTTTATGATTTCTGGTTTTTATTTCAGAAGCCTACGATCCACTTGATCCCAATGGAAATATCACAATTAAATGGGATATCATGACCTGGACTCCTGATGGATACGTTGTAAGTATAAGTAAACCCTAACTTTTTTGTTTGTGGTATAGCAGCACTACTATTGAAAGTACTAATAGAGCGTATCCTTTTATTGAGAACAATTTTGTACTTATAGAATTTGGTTCAATATACTTTTTTGGGTCGTTTTCACTTTTAAGTCAAGCTGAGTAATGCTTTCATTAGGTCAAAGGGCACATCTTATGAAGGCGTGATATGGATTAAGTAGCTAATCAGCTTCTTGTTGGGATTGGATAGGCTGTTGTTACAATGTACAACTTCCAGCAATATCGACACATTCAAGCACCGGGCTGGTCATTAGGATGGACGTGGGCAGAGAAGGAGCTGATTTGGAACATGATTGGAAGTCAAACCACAGAGCAAGGTGATTGTTCAAGATTCAAAGGGAACATTCCACATTGCTGTAAGAAGGACCCAACGGTCGTGGACTTACTGCCAGGAACTCCTTACAACCAGCAGGTTGCAAATTGCTGCAAGGGAGGAGTACTTAACTCATGGGGGCAGGATCCAGCAAATGCTGCAAGCTCATTCCAGCTCAGTGTTGGTGCAGCCGGAACCACCAACAAAACTGTAAGAGTGCCTAGGAACTTCACCTTGAAAGCCCCAGGACCTGGCTATACTTGTGGACCCACAAAAGTTAGCAAACCTAGTAAATTTTTTTCCCAAGATGGAAGGAGAGTAACACAACCTATGAGTAAGTTACTTGCAAAGAGTGTAAAACCCTTTGTTTACATTTATACGTGCTTCTTTAATCTTTAAAGATCAAGCCAGCGCTAGAATCGATTATTCCTATAGCTGATAAATTCATCTAAAACTGAAATGTGTTAAGACTTCATTCATCATTGATCTGCGGTGTCCTGAAGTGAAGTGGGAGGTAAAAGTGCCTATTTAGATAATCATTTAAATTGTTTCAAATTGCTTTTCAGTTTCTGGTGTGAGAAGTTGTTATTTAAATTGTTTCTCTTATGGCAGTGACATGGAATGTTATATGCACATATTCCCAATTCTTGGATCAGAAAGCTCCTACTTGCTGTGTCTCTCTCTCATCTTTCTATAATGACACGATTGTACCCTGTCCAACATGTACCTGTGGCTGCCAAAACAACAGTACTCAGCCAGGGAACTGCGTAGAGTAAGTTCTTTCATAAGTCTCTCACCTACTCTTGTTTTTGTCCTGTTAATATGATTCCTCCTATTTTCTTCTAACACGTTTTTCTATTCCTTTCTGTTCCATTTTAAAGCCCAAACCCTCCATACTTACCATCCATTTTTTCAAGCCCCGCCAAGAACAGCTATGCGCCTCTGGTCAAATGCACAAGTCATATGTGCCCAATTCGAATTCACTGGCATGTGAAACTAAATTCCAAGGAATATTGGCAAGTGCAGGTCACAATAACAAACTTCAATTACAGGATGAACTACACACAGTGGAACTTGGTCGTCCAACATCCCAACTTTGACAATCTGACGCAGTTTTTCGGCATTAACTACAAACCATTGACTCCTTATGCATCTATTAGTAAGTTAGATTTCTTGCAGTGATGTTCTTTATATAGGTAAAGGGCATGATGTATCAACTAGGAGGTGTCTTCTTATAGTAGAACTGTTTGGTGGGATGTATTGATTCGTTTATCTGTATTTAAGTTATGATGGTTGGGGATAAGAAAATGATACTAGTTCAGGTCTAGCTATGCACACTTCATTGCCTAATTGATGGAGTTTGAGAATAGATCTGACAATTTTTCCCTTTCTGGTGCACTTTATTTCTGAACAGATGATACTGCCATGCTATGGGGCATCAAGTTCTATAATGATGTGCTCATGCAAGCTGGTCCTTTGGGTTTGGGGAATGTTCAGTTGGAGCTACTTTTCAGAAAGGATAAATCGACTTTCACTTTTGAGAAGGGTTGGCCTTTTCCTCGAAGGATCTATTTCAATGGTGATAATTGTGGCATGCCACCTCCTGATGCCTATCCATATTTGCCAAAGACCAGTTCTCGGTGAAAGATCCCCTTGCTGACTCTGATGGTGGTCCTGTTGTCATCTTTGGCGTTCTTCTTTGCATGTGTTTACAAATCTTCCGTGGTACCGGTGCAGATTGACTGTTTCAAATGTTTTTGTTGCATCAGTTTGGCCTAAACCTTTGGGAAACTATTTAAAGATTTAAAGACAGCTTATAGTTCGTTTAATTAATTTGTGTTCTCGCTACTAATTTCATTTTCAAGGTATGAATCCTCTTGAATAATTCGAACACTACTTGTAGTAAAGTAAAACTTTCAATGATGCATAAATGAATTATTCCACAACAAAAAAAGAATTGCTTACTATAGGATATAGTATATTTCCGTAAGTCAAGTTCTTGTGTGCTTTGCTTGCAGGGTACAAGTTGTGAAAATAGCCTGTTTACAGGGGATAAAGTTGTGTACATCTAACCCTCTTTGAACTCCATAATAACGGGAGTCTCGTGTATTGAGTATACCCTTAAGTTCTTGTATGCTTTGGAAGATCCTTAAAATTAAAATTTGTGTACCTTTAATTTGGTTTGATGGGGGCAGCATGCACTTATCTCCATTAGAGTACCCTTTCTGGGGAAATGCCCATCCTTGCTTGAGGGTGAAAGTGTTCTTTTCCTTCTGGAGGAGGACCTTTTACTGAGATTTTCCGACTGGCCTAGCCTCTGTTGAAGGACTCTGTAGAATTTCATGCCTCAGGAACATTCCTGTATCATCTGCATATCGAACTACTTCAACATGAGATTAAGATTTCTTGAATCCACTCCTGTAATTAGCTGATAAATCACTTGGGGTCGAGTGTGATAACAGTTCAGTTTGAAAGACTGTTCATTTATCAAACAAACTGAGTTGAAGTCGAGTTGATTCTAAACAATCCTCAAGACATAGTGACACTATTATCAATACCACAGTTTGGTCTAAAAATACATTTGTCACATCGATCCTTCGTTAGAGGGATGGCAAGGTCGGTTGTACATTTGGAGAGAGTGCCTATTAAAGAGTAACGATAATCTTTTGAAGTAAAGTTTCTACCTGTGAACAAAATGTTTTGCTTACTAGAATGATCTCTATAGACATACAAACGAGCACAACTGCACCACACAATAAACACATACCGTGAAAACCTAAAAATAATCCAGGACCAAAAAATCAACAACATAACACCAACCTCACGAATCATGGACTACCTTTTCAATCCTCGTCGTCTGTTCAAAGTAATTTGATCCAAATATCCAATGAATCAAACCAAAATTAGAATACGTGATTAATTATGTATAATCCATGGTGATAAATAAGTCATACGAGTTTATTTCTCGTCTCTTGTTCAATTATTGTACCAATTTTTACCAATTATATTTCTTTTGCTTAGATCAACATGAATTGTTCAACTAACACGTCATCTTTGTTAATAGAACCCACGTGTAAAAATGAGTAAATATTATCGGAATTTAAAAAATTGTTTTATTTTTTTAATTTTAATAACATTACTCTATCCAAATATCTAACCCACCTATATAATTAGTGAGACCCGTTAATTAACGATCTACATTCCTAGCCTAAAAAAAATGTAATAAAACCTAGTACAGTTCAATTTACTTGCATTTCACACATGCCATATTCTTGCCAAACTGTAATCTAAAATATCATACACTTGGGTACTCTTCACCAAGGTCGTACGCTTTTAATTAAAAAGTCAAAACATTCACACCTATGTCTTGTCCACTAAAAAAGTTTGATTTTTGGGTTTTTGACACTTTGTATTTTAAAAGATTTTAATTTTTTAATTTTACATTTTTAAAAATTAAAATATTTTATATTATACCCTTAATGCATTAAAAGTATTGTAATGTGACATTTCTTAACTTTAACTATTTTTTGTCTAAAGTCAATCATTTGACACGGACGAAAAAACTAACAAATTGTCACATTATAATATTTTTGATACATTAAGGGTATAATATAAATAATTTAATCTTTGAAGTACAAAGTAAATAATTTAAAAAATTTCAGGGTATAAAGTGAAATTCTCTCTTGATTTTTCTGATAGATCTTTGGGCAGTCTTCTAAGCTTCGTCCCCATTTTGTTCCTTGGGAACACTATTTCAAAACCTGTAATATTGAAATCAGCAGTTGTATATATGAAATCTATTTCCTTCTGTCTCCTTTTTCAGTACACTTTCTTCAACATCTGACTGACTTCTCTTCATAATTTTTCAAATGGGTCTTGAGAAAAATCTGATTTTGGTCATTTTTATCTTGGTATTGAGTGTTGCTACTGCCTGCTCTGATGCAACTTGCAAGGTCTCTCTCTCTCTCTCTCTCTCTCTCTCTCTATCGTTTTGTTATGATGATTTTAGTTGGGTTCTGTGGACAATGCGGTTACTGATTCTGAATAGGTTCCTAAATGTAGCTCCTGGATGAATGCTCAACTGATGGAGATTGCGAGGCTGGACTTTATTGTTTCTCTTGTCCTCAAGGATTTTCAGGCTCTAGATGTGTCAGATCAACCTTCACAGACCAATTCAAGCTCCTGGTATCCTCTCTCTCTCTCTCTCTCTCTCTCTCTCTCTCTCTCTCTCTATCATCCCAAAATGGTTGATTGTGAAGTTTAAGCCTGGAGATTTGGTTCATTAAAACACAATTAACATATAATACTTGTCTTTTGGCAACAGAACAATTCTCTACCATTCAATAAATATGCATTTTTGACAACCCACAATGCTTATGCTATTGACGGAGAACCATCTCATACTGGAGTTCCCAGAGTGACAGTGACGAACCAAGAAGATAACATTACTCAGCAGCTAAATGTATGGTCATCCCCTTCAATCCCTGTTCATCTCTTTTTTAGGGTTTTTGAATGAATAGGTTTACTTACTTTTTCCGTCATATTTTTTGGGTATATTGTTCATTTACAGAATGGGGTTCGGGCCTTGATGCTTGATACATACGATTTTGATGGAGATGTATGGCTGTGCCATTCTTTTGGAGGACAATGCCATGACTTTACTGCATTTGTAAGTATCTTAGCTTTTTTTTGTAGACGAGCCAAATCCAAGTAACGTTTGACTTTATTGGGCTAGAATAATCTATGAATAATTCTAGTTGTATTACCAAATAACTAATGTACAAAACATAAATAACTCTAAACTTATCCTGAAAAAGTTTTAAACCATATTCATTTCTCTCTCCCTTTTTATCTCAAAGATTTTTGAGAAATTTGAACTTTTACGATTGCTTTTGTGTTTGATTATATAGATGTTGCAAGGATTTTTTATTGAAATATTAATAATTTCCAAAATTAATTAGTCCTATAATTAGATTTTTCATTTTTCTTGGGCTCAAAAATTGAGTTCAGCTCGAATGCTCCCATCTTCTGTCGAGTAAAGGGAAGAATCTAATCTTGGCAATTCAGCTCAGTTGGTCAATGCTGAGCCAAATTCGAACATATTTAAACTTGACAAGTTTAACTAGATTAACACCAAATCAAATTACCTACCCAAAAAAAAAAAACACCCTTACACTAAAATTGGTGTCACATATCATATGTTCTTTGTATGAAACATCATTTAGGAACCAGCCATGGACACTTTGCGGGAGATTGAAGCTTTCTTATCTTCGAATCCATCGGAAATTATCACTTTGATCCTGGAAGACTATGTTCATGTCCCAAATGGATTGACCAAAGTCTTCAAAGATGCTGGGTTGATGAAGTACTGGTTTCCCGTGTCAAAAATGCCTCAAAATGGTGAAGATTGGCCACTTGTTAGTGACATGGTAGCTAACAACCAAAGGCTGTTGGTGTTTACTTCAATCAAATCGAAGCAAAAGAGTGAAGGAATTGCATACCAGTGGAGTTACATGGTCGAAAACCAATGTAAGAAACCAATCATACACAAGTATGTGCCACAATTCACTACCAATAATTCGGGTTTTTGAAATAAATTTTTTATGGCGGTAGTGTCCATCATCACAAAAAAGCGTGTTTTAGAGAAAAAAAATATTTTTGTGGTGGTAATACTGTTATCAAAAATTTATTTGCCGTCGCAAAATACTATTTGTGATAGTCGTTCCCACCAAAAAGATTTTTGAGACTCCATTTATTATGGCGAGGCATTTCGTCGCAATACTTTGCCGAAATAAGAGAAGTCTGAAAAAGTCTTTATGACGGCAACAATTAGTATCAAATAATATTTGCGACAGTAAATAAATTTTTTATGACAATACTATTTCCACAAAAAACTTTTTTCTCTCCAATATACGTTTTTTTATGATGGGGAACATTGTCGTTACAAAAAACTTGTTTCAAAAAATCCTAATTCTTGTAGTGATTTATTTATTTTGATATTACAGAGGTGTTCAAACCAACTTACGCACATTTCGATTAATTTCTTCCCTGATCTGGTCAAAAACAACTGACGCGCACAATTTATGTGTTGTGTATGTCTTACATTCTATCCTGACCCGCAATGTGACATAAATCCTACGAATTTTATGTGTCGTCTGTGTTATTTAATTTGTGATCTCGTGCATAACAGTGTGTGGATAAACTTTCAATTGTTATCTTCTTATATGATTTAGGGTGTAATGTAAGAATTTTAATTTTATAGGGTCTAAATTAAAATTTCAAAAATCTATCAGAGTTTGTTCTACTTTATTTTACTTGTGGTTTCTCTAGTTTGGTAATAGACACTTACTTCCCCTTAAAAATAATAAATTGTAGATGGAGACGGTGGAACAAAAGCAGGAAGTTGCCCAAACAGGGCAGAGTCGCCGCCACTTAATGACACAACTAAATCGTTGGTTTTGGTTAATTACTTTAGATCTCCTCCGGTCAAGCAATTAGCATGTAAACAGAACTCAGGGGGCCTCATTAACATGCTGCAAACCTGTCATGGTGCCGCCGGCAACCGATGGGCCAATTTTCTTGCCGTTGATTATTACAAGGTACCCCCCAATGCCTTTTCTATATTGAATCTTCCTCTATTTTTATATTTTATTTTTTAGTAATTTGGTTCCATCCATAATTTGATTTAACTGATACTTGCGGGTAGAGATGACAATTGTTGGGTAATATGATTAATTTTAATTAAGTGGATTAAGATGGATTATAAATGGGTAACTATTAAATTAAATATTTTTCTTTATATTAAATAACACAAGTATAAATCAAATAAACATACTAATACAGAAAAAAGTATACACATACATACTAATCTATCTATACTACTAATAAAAGGAAGCTAATGAGAAAATTTTTTATTCTCTATTCTACCCCTACTTAATCATATAACAATTATATCCTACTTACCACTTTAACTCTTACACCATTTCCCTTCTAAGAATAAATATTCGTAACTACATGTGCAATGAATACATAGTATTATCTATAAGAAGACCTTTTATATTCATAACATTGGAGAAAATTAAAAAACAATATAAGAATAACTTGCTCTCCTTCCAAGCCCCCACTTTCCAAATAACAGAGAAATCTTCTCTCTTTAAATAATAGAAATTACTAGTATATTTGTTCTTCTCTATAACTTTCATAACTCCTTCTATTTTTGAATTTTGCTTTTATTTTTTTCCTTTGCAAGTCATCATAAATCTTATGAAAGTAGGACTTGTAAATGATATTGAAGATGATAAGCTCTAAGTGCAATAATTTTTGGTTGGTTATGTGATTTTTTTTTGTATCAGTGGTTAGCTTCATTTGATGTTATCTTACTATCAACTACTGTTTTAATAATCTAATATGAGTATAATCTAAGACTTTAAAAGAATGTGATGTCCTATTCATTGGTTAGATTCAATTATTTATTTACTTCTCGATTTTAATTTAGAAATTTGATTATAGACTTGGTGCCTAAGATTAATGTTTGCAACTATATGCAAATTCTACTTATTAATTATATTTTTAATTAATATAATCACACCAACTAGTACACTAAAAACACACTAATTCACATGTCCTGTGACTCGACCTAAACACCCACAGGTCAACCCAACCTGACCTATTATGTGTGTATTTTTAGTGTATTAACATGTGTGTATTATTCGTGTATTAGTGTGTGTATTTTAGTGTATCAGTGTTTATATTTTTAGTGTTTTAATTTGTGTATATTTTGGTGTATTAATGTGTGTATTTTTATTATATTCGTATATGTTTATATTAAGAGTTTTAATTATTTTACGGATTAATAAGTTTAACCTAACTCATTATAACCCGTTTATTAAGCGGATTATAAATGAATTAAATTTATTTTGCACCCAATTTCATATTGAATAGGTCATTGAGAGATTCCTCATTACAAGCTGATTGGAACTACTAATTCTTAATGACTTATTAACTCGATAATTATTAGTTACAAATTTCATCTTGGATTTGGGTCATAATGCAGTCAATCGATAACCTCGTTTAATAAATGAATTGACACGAGTTCGACTTATACGATATAAACCCAACTATCCATAAATATTAGACATAAATTTGACACAAAAATGAACCTGACTATTAACTATATCTATGTAATAAATTAATTTACAATGCAAATCTTAAAATGATTTTTGTTATTCGCGATTGAGATCATTTTAAATTTTACTTTAAAGTTAATCTAATGACTAATATTAACACTCTAAATTTAATAAAAACAATAGGCCCCTAAAGATGTGTTTGGATTGATTTTTTAAAAATACTTTTAAAAATTATTTTTTATAAATACTTTAAAAAAATAGTGTTTAAAAATGCCCCACCACTACCTCTATCACCACCGCCGCCGCCGCCGCCACCACTGTTATCGCTGCCACCACCATTATCACCACCACCGCCACCGCCACCGCCATCACCACCACCATTGCCGCTCACCACCTCTCACCTCCACTACAAATCGATACTTAAAATCATTTATCTCTTCTCTATGTTTGTGATTTGATTTTAGATATGAATACAAATATATTTATTGTTTACCATTTTTTATTGCACTGTATCTTCATGCTGTGCCTGAAAACTAGTATAAATATAAAGGATATGTTGTATGTAAATTATGGCAGTACACGACTAAGTCACCGTACGATCTAAGATATTATCAACATGGAAGAGAGTTTAACAATATGAATCTGTTTACCCATGTAGAGGAGCGACGGAGGAGGAGCATTTCAAGCTGCAGATACTCTAAATGGAAAGCTATTGTGTGGATGCGATGACCTACACTCTTGTGTGGTAAGTCATATAGATATAACTAGCAATAATCCCATTATCCACACAATGCAAAACTAAAAAATCTAATATTAATTGTGTAATATTTATATTTTAAATAATAATTTATTTTTTTAATTATTTAATTTAAAATTAAAATGAACAAAAAGAGCTTGCACCAGATCTGTTGTGTTTAAAATTAATGGCAATACTGTGGTGTTTCCATTCAAGGAGAAATAAGCAAGTACTATTACCTTGCAGCCAGGATCTACATCAGGAGCTTGCACCGCCCGAGCATGACGGCGCGTGAGAATCCACTATGTCAACAACTGCCATTTTCTGCAATAAAGTTTCCTGAAATGAAAAAAGAATCCTGGTTTACCTGTACAGGAAAACGATAATTTTCCATTTTTGATGGTGCAGCAGAGAGAGAGGTTTGGTTGATCTGGGTTTGTAAAGGAAAGTACCTTAGCAGTTTATATGAATATCAGGTTGTGCAAAAAAAAAAAATGTAACAAAGTTGATGTATGGGCCTTTCAAGGCTAAAAGGGTTTGTGAATCTTAAAGGACAGCCCAGTACACTAGACTGAATAGTCGATTTGGACTCTGAAAATATAGTGAAAAACTACGATCAACACATACAATCAACTACTTTTTCTAGTTGCAAAAGCTATAATCATTCAGCCTGGTAGTAAAGAAACTCCCATTAAGCTAATACATCAAATATCAATGTGACCCTCTCTTTAATTTTTCAACTTTTTACCAATGTTAAGGGTAAATAAGTGTTTTCTCAGTAAAATTTCAGCTTAGGATGACCACATAATGAACAGATGTCAAGAGGTATAGATGGGAACAACCAACCAAGATTATAGATTTTTATGCTGTTATTAGAAGGAGCAAAACAAATCTTTCGACTTATTGTGGAGTTTGAGAGTATTAACCCAATTTTGTTCTCCAATGTACAACATGATATTTGATCTAATTAATACAAGAAATTTCTCACAAGAATGGCGTGCTACCTTTTGAGCCATTCAATCAGTCAATTAACTCCCCCAACTATCAAACAGATTTGATGATAAGTCTAAGAAATAGACCCAAACCTAAAGGAAAATCAATGTAACTATTCCATATGATCCAAGAGACAATCATATATCTCACTGTTTACTTGAGGATAATTTTAGACAGCACCACAAATCATTGGCCAATGATTCCAGATTGAGGTAGTTCATAAATTGATGTCTTCACCAGTTAGACAATGTTGCTTGGTATAAGGGCAACTCTGTAAATTTCAAACAAAAACACTAGTGCCCATGAGTAGACCAAGTAAGGAAGGAACAAAATCTCATATACAAACAGAAATAGATAATCTTATGCTTTTTTTTCTGGCCAAGTACTGCTGCGAATTATCAAGAAAACATTCATGATTGAAAATCATTCTTATTGGCATATCTCTATGAATATCTACTTGTCTACTGACAGATTTTCTGTCAATAATAGGACAAAAATAATAGTGAGGGAGAGGCACCACTACAGGCAGAAAAGCACAAGAGAACAAAAAAGAGGCCCTCGTGCAACTCTTGGAGTTTTGATTGTACATCACAAATTCAATGAAGCTAAGGCCATCGTGCATGTGGGTAGCCACCCCTCCCCCTCTTCTCTCTCTCACTCCTTCCCACTCTCTCTACTATTAAGCATAACCTTTCCCAGCCTACTGTTTGCTTTTTCTCGGCAGTGCCGTGCATCTAATTTATACAACGAACTGCTATCATTCATAGATCCCCATCTTCATGGCCTACCCCAAAACATCATAGTCCTACAAAATTTAACAAATAAAGATAGATATAGTTATGAAAAGGAGAAATCATATTCACACTTCTTATGTTTCTAACAATCATAAAAATTGAGGATACCCACTATCAAATTTTCTTTCGAAAAATGGGTTATGGAAGTAGATCAACTATTTTGCCTAGAAAAATGCATACTTGCCATTTAATTTCATGGACATGATGGTTAAATGGTTTTGATCATATCTTTAAATTGCAAAAAAAGAGTGCATCTTTTGTGCCAAATCCGCTTCTAAGGGTCTCCCTATGGATCCACACTTCTCTAAGTCACCATCTAATCGACCTTTTGAGCCATATCAAACAACCCATTAGCTTCAGCAAAAGTCAAAAAAAAAAAAAAATTGAGAACAGAAGAGATAGCTGGAAATTACAAGACAAACCCTGTCTCTTTATGTTTCATAATCTTACCTACTGAGTAGATGGCTCAGCTTGTACAACTTGTGTATGCTATCATCCCAAAGGCAATATGTATGGTCTGTTTGGATGATAGAACATCCACCCCCCTTCATTGAATTCATTGAAGGTACACATCTCTGTGATTGGGGGGCAATCCATGTTGAAGACCTCGTTAATATTGAGGTATGTTTTGCCATAGTTCTACCAGCACAGTCATGAGGCAAATTATTCAGCTCTGTGGAATTTTTAGATGATACCGGTCCAAAAGAGAATTTAAAGATGACATTAAGCAGGCAGTATGCGAAGGGGCTGTCATTGGAGTTATGGGTATCCCAAACAAACCCTAAAAATATGGGTTTCTGAATTATGATATTAATGGAGGGGCTTTATGATAAAGGTGGGAAATAAAGTTTGAATCCCATTAACCACTGCTTAGCCTAGTACAGTCATTGCAGTTCATCCTACACCATGTGGAAATAATCGCATACAAGCTAGTGGTATAAGTTACTAAAATTGCTAGCACTTTTGGATTTCCAGGAAAGTGGATGGCAATTGTCAGGGGTGCATGCATGTATCAACAATCAGTTTTTTCTCCAAAAATTCTAGAGAGAAGATAGCAGCCTTTCACCATCTGAGGACTGTTAAGGACGGTGGTTTTAGCATTTAAAGTTCCAAATCTCATCATCATTTTTAGTCAATCGATGTGATTAGTTGAAAACTAAGCATTTATGTCATTATCCTGAAGAAAAAAGCCATTTCTTTTGTATAATTCTCACATAAGGGTCCAAAAAAATCTTGCATGTATGTTGGGATATTATGGAAATGAGCAATCTGGGAAATCATCCAATAAAGTTTGACCAGGAAAAACAATCCAATTTTTTGGTCAAAGTCTCTTTATGACTTTGCTACCAACGAAAATCAGTACCCACTCCCAGTTAACTATCAAAATTCTCTCTCTATATATATATATATATATGTGCGCGCGCGCGCGTACATAACACTAAGGAACCAAAAAATTTTATGGTACAATATAGAAAAATGATTATAGTCTAGATCTTAAATAGAGTTATTTGTAACCATTGATCGTTAAAATAACAAAATAATAGAAATTTTCAAGTATCATTTCAAGATTGGATGAAAAAAGAATCTACAGTATCAAAAAGACTAACCCATATATACATTAACGTATAGAATACTCTGCACACAAATAAACATTCATGGCTAAAATCTTGATGAGTAGTTAATTAATTAGTTATGATCATTACTTCACTGTACGATTCTTATGTTGATGGAAAGGCTCTTGATCTTGACTAGCTGGTTCAAGTAAAGCAGTTTTGCAAGACTGCTAAAAAGTAACAACTGTGCTACCATTCGATTCCATCAGGTGTGATCGTACAATCTGAGGTTTAATAGTAGGATCCCTCTCCTTATAGGGTGCATGGTTTTGGCGTATTATGCCTTTCTCTCTCGTCACATATGGCAGTCAACAGGCCTATATATACACATACTTGACATTCTATTTGCAGCTCTATCTGAAGTGGTTGAAGCTTCTAGGGAGCATCAATGGCTGCGTTCCTAGTGATTTTTGGGGTGGTTTTGGGGCTTTGTATTTGCAGTACTGCTCTATTGAGATGGAATGACTTGAGGTACAGGAAGAAAGGTTTGCCTCCCGGTACCATGGGCTGGCCTGTTTTTGGCGAGACTACCAAGTTCATAAAACAAGGCCCAAGCTTCATGAAAAACCAGAGAACAAGGTGATTCTTCTGAGTGTTGCTTTAAAAGGGTCTCTTTTATATGTTCTTTTCTTATCGTTCAGTGATCTAGAAGACCTCTGTTTCCCAATGCTATCTAGCCTATGTTATTGTACTGTTAGCTTAATGACTGCTTATTAATTATCAAGTGTTATGATTTGGGGTTTCGATGCTCAAGGAACCTTGAATCATGGTTTAGAGAATCGGCTGAGTCCAATACAACCTGACACTTCTCGTTCTAATATCATGTAAATCATAAGTCCGGTGTATCGCTCAGAGATGTCTCAGGCAACTTGTTGGAGACATTGTCATGCACCCACTTGCAGCATGTCGTTATTGTCATCCACCCACTTGCAGCATATCACCCAACGACACGATATGACTAGGATCTCTCATTATAGTAAATTTATTCTACCTAGAATTTCATGTCTATCTTGATGACTGATGATTAAACATTCTAGTAGTTTCTAATTAATTGACTATAACAGGTATGGAAGTTTTTTTAAATCCCACATCTTGGGCTGCCCAACCATTGTTTCCATGGATCCGGAGCACAACAGATATATCCTCATGAATGAAGCAAAAGGCCTTGTACCTGGCTATCCACAGTCCATGCTTGACATTTTGGGGAAATGCAACATTGCAGCTGTTCATGGTTCCAGTCACAAGTACATTAGACGGGCATTGGTTGCCCTTGTAAGCCCCACCATGATCAGAGACCAACTTTTGCTAAAGATTGATGAATTCATGAGATCCCACCTAAGCAATTGGGATAACAACATTATTGACATTCAACAAAAAACCAAAGAGGTCTGTATATAAATCAAAAACCAAATAAATATAACTTTTGTCTAGTTACAATGTTATATTTCATCCTCTTTCTTTTAATCTACAAAAGTATCTGATCATGTACAGATGGCATTTCTATCATCGCTTAAGCAAATTGCTGGTGAAAAATCAGGATTGATATCTCAGAAATTCATGAAAGAATTTTTTAAGCTAGTATTAGGGACCCTTTCACTGCCTATCAACCTTCCCAGCACAAATTATTATCGGGGGTTTCAGGTAAATTGCCTAATAATTACTACTATTTCTGCTCGACAATCACATAAGTAGGTGTATTGATAATTGAAATATGTTGCAGGCTAGGAAGAACATTATCAGCATATTGAGGCACCTTATTGAGGAGAGAAGAGCTTCTGATGAAATCCAACATGACATGCTTGGTTTCCTTATGGATGATGAAAAAAATAGACATAAACTAACTGATGAGGAAATAATGGATCAAATCATCACTATTTTGTATTCAGGGTATGAGACTGTTTCGACTACTTCAATGATGGCTGTCAGGTATCTTCATGGCCATCCAAGAGTCCTTGAAGAACTCAGAGTAAGTGAGAAGTATCAATATTTTCAAACGCCATTAGTGTCATATTTTGATGCCACTAATGTAGCTTCATCATCTAATTCTGTAGAAAGAGCACTTGGCAATTAGAGAAAGGAAAAGACCAGAAGATCCAGTCAACTGGAACGACTTCAAATCTATGCGCTTCACTCGTGCTGTAAGGAAATTTGAAAAATTAATTAGTACATGAAGAACTTCAACTCAGTGTTGCATATTTGATTCAGTATGATGTTTATGATGCAGGTGATTTTTGAGACCTCAAGATTAGCTACAATTGTCAATGGTGTCTTGAGAAAAACTACTCGCGATATGGAACTAAATGGTGAGTGGCTTAGTGTCCAGGTTATTCATTTCAAGAAAGAAAATACAGTGTGTGGCATATTGGCTCTTGCTTTTTAGGATTCAGGGGCTCAAGGAGCTGTGCCAGACAGCCTCTCAATTAGAAACTTTTTGAATGAAATTGTGTGAACAATTAAAATACTATTTTGTTTATGAGATCATCTTCCTCCCATGGTCCTACTCTATAATGATCCATATGGCATACCTACCATTCCAGCTAGAACATCCGATTTGCTCCATCTTGAATAAATGAAATATTTTATAAAAACTTTTTCATGATAGATGGAGGTCAATTTTCTTTCATTATTGTTTTTTCATGAGCAAGTTAAATCGTTAATTCATAGTATTCAATGGTTCCAATAATACCAACAAGGACTAAGCTATTGTCATTGAATAACATTATCTTTCTTCTTCACATGATCTTCTCAACTACAAAGTCTGTAACATGAAAACATCTAACCTCAGCATTTCTCTACTTTTTTAGGATATGTTATTCCCAAAGGATGGAGGATATATGTTTATACAAGGGAGATCAATTATGACCCAATTCTATATTCTGAACCTTTTACCTTCAATCCCTGGAGATGGCTGGTTCGTGATTTATTCAATTTTGTCTAGCTTTTTGCCAAATTACAGTAGGCTCAAATTTGTTTGAAGATACTAATACAGTTTTGCTAAATGCAGGATAAAAGCTTGGAGACACAGAACAACTTCTTGATTTTTGGAGGAGGCAGTAGACAATGTCCAGGGAAGGAACTGGGAGTAGCAGAAATTTCTACATTCCTTCATTACTTTGTAACTAGATACAGGTACCATATGCCAAACGAAACAACCCCCCCCCCCCCCCCCCCACAAAGGGACAGGAGGGCACACCAAGTATTTTGTTATTGAAAATTTTAGTTGTCTTGATGATCAATGAAAGGATTACAAACCATGTAAATTGACTCCTCCTCCTGAATGTGCAGGTGGGAAGAACTAGGAGGAGATAAGCTAATGAAATTTCCAAGAGTTGAAGCACCAAATGGGCTACACATCAGGGTTTTACCTTACTGACTACCCCATGCATGTACAGAAGATATATAGCAAATCAAAGGAACGTGGATATACAATAATGTTCTTCTAGCACACTGGAAAGCATAATGGAAATTGAGAAATTCCTTCACAGAAAATACTAGTGTGTACAATTTAGGCAGCCAGAATCTGATCTGTAGCTAGTTTGAAAAATAATGATGATCACATATGACAGAGTGAAGAAAAAAGTGCTTTGTCAATTAAAATTGAAGCTTCATACCATGGTACAACATGAAAAAGGACCAGGATCCTGCTATATGCATTATGCACATAGGAAAACTAAAATCACAAAATATTGTTACTATTACCTGCACTGTGAAATTGAGTATAGGCAATTGTCAGTTCCTAGTTTATAATTGTCTTAATGTCATACAGGGTGACAGAAACTAACTCCTCAAGATTTCTTGCCTGGTATACTACCCCTGACACAAATGATGCCATTCATTTGATCCCATCTCATACTAGATTACCTCAATTTTATGAAGTACGGATACTTCGTTATTGGGATACACCGTACAAGTGAGATAGTAATAAAATAATGGGATACTTTGCGAATACATATTCACAATGTATATGCTTATATGAAATTGCATCCGCAGGGCAATATGGATAATTTCTAATATTAGTTTTTGCTTTTCCTCTTTAAAACATATAATGCAACACATAAAAAAAAATTCACATGACTTTGAAGACACTGGGGTATTTCTTAAATATTATTTACCATGATACTATCCCATGTCAAATGAATATAAAATGAGTTAATTACACCATGTGCCTGGGCGATATGGCTTTTTGATCAAATCAACTAGTTAAATCTTAGTTTTAATTTCTTTAATTAGTCACCTTCACGTTATAAATTTATCATAATGAGACGATCATACTTTCTTGAAAATAAAAATTACTAAATTTTTTGTATTATTGTTAAAAAGTTTACTAAATATTATACTCACCAAGTTATCAATCATAAAAAATATAAAAATACATTTTACTATACACGTATCTTGGCCGTATATACTAATTTTTCAAGTTTTGCCATATCGCTTTATTTGTTTTGTGTCCTACCAGTCTCCGGTCTCCATATCCATGCCTAGCCTTAATTATAGGTTATAGACCATATGGGATTCAAGTAAGAATCATTATATTCCAGGGGATCCCTACTAATACAAAGAGGGTTGATTTAGAATTGAGGGAATTTTATCCCCGACATTAGAGCATCTCCAGCCCTACCTTTTTTTGTACCAAAATTTAAATTTATGTAAAAATGGTCTAAAATGCTTCTCCAATACTAGACACATATCTATTTGAGTTTCTCTTTTTTTAAATTTGAGTTTCTCCGCTGTAACAAATCAAGTTTTTTACCATTTTTTTTACTCAAATTTGAGTAAGGGTTTGAATTTTCATTGGAGATGGTCTTACTATAACTCCTAATAATATGATGCTTCATCTAGTGTATGATGACAATTCATTGCTTAAGAGAGGAAAATCGTGCAAAGTTTGAAATCTTCGTAGAGTAATAAAAATTACAAAAAAAAAAATATATATATATATATATATATATGAAACTAAATGAGTAGGACAATAAGAGTAGAGTTCTCAACACTTACCTCCTCCAAAAGCCACTGTGAAAGGTGAGAATTCCCAGTCATTTCAATTTGGAAAAGGGACACCCTTCGAAATCCTCTTCGTCACCCTTTTCTGGATTTTCTGATTATCTGTATGAATTCAAGTAACTCACTATTTATAAGCATCCACACTCATCTATCATTGGGCCAAGAGCGTCATGACAACTATATTTTTGGCGGGAATCAGCAAGGCCCATCCTATATTCTCGGTGAATTTTGAATTTCTGGGTCAAGGACGGATTTCAGATAACAAAAACCGATGCGCGGTTTTAGGTTGTCCAAACCACTGTCAGAATAGGGGTAAACTAACTACCAAACAAGAAATCCAATCAGCCAGCAAAAATTAAAAAAAAAACGCCGTTGCCGGGGATCGAACCCGGGTCACCCGCGTGACAGGCGGGAATACTCACCACTATACTACAACGACTTTGATGCCAAGCTAGTAAATACAATATTACATATAGAAATAAATTTAAGGTAACTAATTTGATTATTCTTTTTTCTACTATCCTATAGAAGTATTTGGTTGAATTTTGATGGATAAAAGTGAATTGGCTTTAAATTGTTCAGAGACCCACATATCCCAGATTTAGATCCACAAAATGTAATGGGATAATCGTTGGAAACCAAAACCCGAGCTATTGTAATTGAATGTCTAAATCTCATTTATATCAAATTTTGTAAACGCAAGGATCATGTGAGATTTAACTTCCCAATTTTTCCTACCAACAAGATAAATGGTTATTTTACCCAACTACCCTCAAAACAGTACTCAATTAGGTCAAGAATTAGAGAAGATGACAAAACCTCATTTCTCTCGCCACCATTTCCACCTCCACCCCCATTACCACCACCCAAATTCAACTCGAAAAATATTAGAAACCCATCTCTTGATTCAGTTCCTTAAGTGACTACTTCTTACCACTAAAGTCCCTTTCTCTTAAAGTCCTATCAAACTTCCGATCCATCCCTTGTTGATTGAAGAAAACCTTATATGATCTCAAACAAACAAGAAAAACCATTTCTATCTTATTATATTAGTCAAGCCTTAAGGCCTACAAGAAAACAGATGTGCTAACAAACAAGAGCTTTCACGCAACTCAATCCGTTACCTTCTTGCTTTCGAGCCAGAGCTTGCTGGGTAGTGAAGTGGTCAATGAAAGTTAAATAAAATTTGTGTTAAACAAATTGAGTAGTCAAGCTAGAGAGGCAAAAAAGAAAGAACCAAGAAACGGTTTTTGTTCGACCAACGAAATCGATGGTACTTTCACTGGACTGGCTTTCAATAAAGTACCTTTGGGCAGCAGTTACTATTGGGATCCAATTCTAAGATCAATTTGACAATGATCATATAAGAACCCTTTGAAGACATGTCCACCGATCTTCACCACCGCCTGACAAGCATATTCATAAGAAAGTGTCATTCAACAAGAAATTTTTTATTCAGAATCCACATCCTCTAACAGAGATCAAACAAGCTAGGCTCTCTTCATATTCAAATCCAAAGGAGCACCTGTTAACAGTCTTTAATAAACAATAAGTAAATAAGAATTCAAAATGGTAACATAATTGTTTTCATTTGAACAGAAAAAAAATAAAACAAAACAAAACAAAAATGTTACTACTCAATTTGGAGTCTTGGACTCACCAGAATCACTTATAAATAAACAAAATTTGACGATGCATCTTCAAAACTGAAAATTAACATACAATCGTTTATATATTCTTCTATCTCACAATGGCATTTTTAGTTGTAACTCATCTGGGTAGCAGAGCTCAATTCAAGATGGTTTCTCTCTCTGCAAGGAAATGCAGAACAGGAAACATGTTATAACGGTGTCAAACAAGCTCTCAGCCAGCTGGGGCCTACATACATTAGCATTTTGAAAAGGCGCATGCTTTATTTTTCATGAATTGGAAGTGGGATCTTCTGTCTTCTTACGCTTAGCTTGGGGCTCGCCATCTTCTTCATGGTTACTAATTACATTTAATGCCTGCGGACCCAGAAGGGATACGTGCTTGCTGGTGATCTGACGCCCCGCCCTAAGCTTTGGACCCCAGTGCCTCTCGGGATTAGGAAGGAAGCGTGCAACCTTCTTGGCTTGTGCCTTGCTAAGAGATGCAACAGCTCGAGCAAAATTAGCCTGCCAAGAGAAGGAATCCGGGTACAAATTTAACTTTTACCTGAAATCCAACTGTTGCACTTTCCAGCATACATTAAAAGTTTTAAAACTGTCACATAATTGATGATTTAAGAGTTTTGATAGTGTTCTTGTTTTCACCAGTTAATAAATAACTATTTTCTATTTTTACTCCGAAAATCTCTATATATGTTTTTGTCTTTTCGCTATTAAAGGAAATACAGGATGAAAGTGTATTACAGTATCTAATTTATCTAAGTACGATCCCAATCATGCAGTGCTGCAAATTGTGCTTTGATTGGTAATTCTTGAGCTTGTAGAACCTGTTGAATCCAATTCTTAAATCCATTGCGCTAGGTTAGCCAGAGTATTTAAACCCCACATAACCTATGCTTTGGGTCATTAAATTATTTACATATAGAGGAAAGAACCATGTGCTTAAAAGAAATTGTACACCCAAACAAAACCATGTATAAGTTAAAAGGGTTGAGAGGTGAGACTCACTTGGAGAACGGGTTCCTTGGCAAGGATCACGCTTCCTGCCTGATCTGGTGGTTGAGCTTTAACAGGATGATTTTTGACCTATGCATAGAATTCGTCATCATTGTTCATGAAAATGCAGCATTCCAAAGTTTGTTAACCGATTCTTGAAAACATCTGGAATTATTGCTGAAGGAGAAAACAAGCTCTAGTGAATTAACATACACAAGAATGGCAGTCCTTACCCAGCACCGCATTATGTCCCAAACGACATCCATCGGAGCATCTGATTTTAGCCCCAAGGGATTCACATGAGTGCCCGATATACGATATCCTGCATTGATGACAGCAGAGCGGAATATAACTGCTGATGGGGAGGTGCATTTTAGTGTTGCACAGAGATTGTGCAAACTTAGAAACAAGGGGACATCAGGCAATTCCTGCAAAAAATATATATTTGAGTAAGAATAATGACATAGGCAAGACTTGTAAGGTGTAAGACATCACTTGAAGGTGGCCCCCAAAAGAAGGGGGCACCCAGGGGTTAAAGTAGGAAATAATTAAAATTATCGTCTAGTTTCATTTTATAGAAGTCAATCCCATAATACTTGATCAGTAAAAAAACGTCATACTCTAATAGGCTAACATTTGTCAAGTCTAATTGAATTCAAAATCAGGAAAAGATTAAGATCAAAAGATTGAAGCACACAGGTGAGATGCATTATCAAAGAACATCTATTTCAACCAGTAATAGTGCCAACTACAAAAAAAAAAACTCAATTATCGTGCTACTGTGGCAAAAGAAGTCCCTAATGTTAATTTATCAGTACAATATATTTCTGAATATGTGAAAACACAAGCAATCAATCTGGCTCCTCAGGAAAAGAAGGAAGTGAGTACATCAGTTTAGAACAATAACAGTTTTTTTCTTAAACAGAAAATATATCCGGTATATAAATACTAAAAGGAAAAAACCCATATTTACTTTCCAAATGCAACAATACTTGTCTACTTTTCTTTGACTGAACAATCAAATAAATGAAAAAAGAAAAATAACATTTTCAAAGAGTAAAATAATATGTCAACTAAAAAGAAACAAACCAACCTCTGAAATTGTTGTCAATACAGCAGAGATTCGATCATAAGCAGGATAACAATCTTTCATGGATTTCACATCTCCTAGCATGAAAGTAACCCATTCTTGGTCGTGGATGGGAGCAGACCATATAGGTCCACCCATGTTATATTTCTTCCCACAATCACTGCACTCTTGAGGAACAACAGGACCAAACCCAGGTAGATACCTCACACTGTTATTCTTGAGGAAGAGAGGAAGGAAAAAAAAAAACCCAAATTACTCACAAATATACAAATTTGAAAACAAAACCAGCAATCTGTAACATAGAAACTTTAGTTTGTTGCGCAAAATAGCACAAAATTAGTATTTTGTTTCCAGAATATATAATGTGCCTCATATAGCTCATTGCTTACAAAACAGTGTTTAGGATCTTCCCTAAAATACTTCGAAATCCTGGATCTAATAACTTGGATAAGAAAAGATGTATTTTCTTCATTGCCCCAACATATTAGCAACAAAAAGGGGTAGTTCAGACACCATCAATTTCTGAACAGGAAAATCCACTATGTATCATTACGATGTTCTTAAAAACCCTTACGTATGCCAGTCAAACAAAATAGATACCAAAAAATGTAATGGAATATTCAAACAAATCACAAACTCAGTAAGAGGTTAGCATATGCATGAAAATAGTAGCCTAAGTGATGACAGAAGTGCAATGCGACTGATATTGCACCTCCCCCTAATACTGTGCCTGCATGCAGAAAAAAAAAAGGTATACGTAATTACATACTAATGAACAGCAAGATGTCAAATATATTATGTATTTGATATATAAATAGAAATGATACTCTTTTGTAAATATATTGCAAAAGTATTGCATACTGCAAGTACCCACATATCAAGGAACATAACAGCATCTTCAATGAGTACTCTATTTAAGTAAATGAGCCAAAAATCCAAGTGCTGAAGTGGTCTTATCTATGCATATCAATTGTGCCAAGAAAAGCAGATGTGTGCTTACTGCTTAGAAGGGAATAGAGAAGAAGAGGAGGGGGGGGGGAAGCCACCAAAGGCTTATGGAACAGCTGCGTACCTTGGGGACACTCCTCCCAATCGGCTGAAGATGGAAAGAATCACAACCAATGCACTGATAAACATACGAGAGCTTAAGAGGAGTGTTCTTCATTGCACTTGCTGAACTGCAACCAATTAGTTAATATCTTAGTCAAGTACAAACTAATCCAAACACAAATTGGCTCACATCATACAAATAGACAACCATCTAATCCTCCTAATGTGCCCTTTACCCTAATAGCAAATGAAACAAAAATAAGGAGAAAAGAAAAGAAAAGATTACTCACGTATATATGCGAACAAAAACGCGTACATAGAAATCCATCTGAACAGATAACACTGGAACAATGTAGCGCTTGTACCGATTTGCATGGCTCTGCATTTACGGAAGGAAATACAATTTTAAAACAACATTTTAAATATAGATAAAGGAACAAACGCGGAATCCTAGAGTTTCTGATTTTTGTGTAAAATAAAGAAAATGAATGACAAATATTAGCCATCACATAAATTGTTGGTTGAATGAATACATCTAATATCTCAACCATCTTCATTTTGACTCTCTCTCTCTCTCTCTTTATATATATATATATATATAAATATAAGCCAATGCATAATATATACATATGTGTGTGTATTCGTTTACCAGATTAATGGAGAAGTCACCCCTAAAATGGTGATAGACAAACTGCCACGTGGTACCAATCTATTAATGGTTGACATCAGAGACAGGAATGAAGGTTTTGCCACTTACCTCACCAGTCCAATAAATTCTCTCATTTGATCTTTGAAAAATAACAAGAATTGGCCAATGCCACCAACTCACGGCATTCTATTATTTGTCAAAGACATCAGCTCCTCAATCACATTGCTGGACTCAGTGTTGCATGGGTTGGGACTTGGGAATCATCAACTTGGGGGGATGTTGCACAAACAAAGTAAAACCAAACTTGCACAATGCAAGTTTGTTTGATAAAATTTCAATCCAAACAAAAAACATTCAAAGACCAAACAATTATAAATGATACAGAAGTGAAATCCTAACATAATGAGTCATGAAGTTGTCAAATTTCAGAAATAACAGTAAAAAAGGAGCATGGCAAGACAACTTGGGGTTCATTTCCATCCCTTTTTTCTTAAAAGTTAAAAACATCATTAGCATACATGTTTATGGGTTTATATGCTAAAAATAGACAGTTTGTTTACCAAAAAAAAGTACCTCAATGCAGGCAAGGAGGATCCTCAAAGCCATTTCATGGCAATATTTTCCTCTCAATGGATAGGAACCATACCTGATTCACAAGCAGCATAAGATTAGCCCACTTCTTTTACTTTTTAAAGTATCTAGTAACCAACTGATAGTAAGATATTGCTTTGTCTAAGGCAAGGGGAGTATGAAACCTTACTTGGAATAGCAAACCTCCCCATTACCCCCACATAGCACTGCCATATCAGTTGCAGTACACATCAAAATGCCACCATCAACAATTGATTGAACAGCAGAGTCCAGGAACACAGAAGGTGAACCATAAGGATCAAGATCAACCTAAATACCAATAAGCAGGAGAGTTTAAATAATGGCTCATCCTAAGGGAAAAATAGAAGAACTTCCCAGGAAAGCCTCTAGGTTCAGGATAGAAACAACAAGAAATGCTGCTAATAACTCCCAAATATAGGCAACCGGCATTGCTAAAACCAATTTATCCTCTCAAATGTAAATGGCATAAAAATTTTATTGACTTGATTTTTGAGAGATTTGACACGTATGAATCCATATGCTGAGAAAGCATGTGCCACACACAATCTTCGCATTAAAAATTTACAAATAAAGTGAGATATATAAATCATACCACATCAAATTCTTTTGGGTGGGTTAGCATGTAAACTCGAGCATCCTCAAGGTGTGACTCCACCTTTGAACATGCCACTGATCCATTAAATTTTATGTTTCTTCTGCAAGCCTCAACAGACACTGCAACAAAGGATAAATGAGACCTACACTCATTTCTATTCAAGATGAATAGTAGATGAGAAACAACATAATTTGCAACCAGAACAATTTTGAGCACCTGATAATTCAATTTCTAATTCAAAATATATACAGGGTGAATGAATAAGTATGCCTACATCCAGACAGGCCTACACAGATAGCAGCATTTCCATCTACTTCTTTGAGACTGGTAGTGTATAAGCAAAGCTTTTCATGACAAAGAAAAATGAAAAAACTGCATAATTAGGCATCATATACTGAGAGTTACTAAGAAGTTGGAACTACCTTTATCATTGTCCAGGGCCACTACTTCGCCAATGCCTTCAACTTCGCGTGCATATCTAAGAGCTCTTAATCCAGAAGCTGACAAAGCCTATTGAGTACAAGGAAAATGCTTGTGTAAGCTATACAAGGAATAATAAAAATGAATTCATATTTCTGAACCCAAAGCAGCAACTATGCCAACTAAAGCAACAAGCAACAAGCAACAATATTTGGACATTGATGAAGAACCTCTAGTACTCTTGGGGGCTTCAGCTCCCCTCGAACTTTTCCCTCAAGGGCTTTGACTGATTCTTCTGAGATGCTACATGGTTCATCGTCAAATACCTCTTCTGCCTCTTGACACTCACCGTTATCAATTCCATTATGTGCAACAGACTCAATTGGTGCAGCCAGTTCAGGAGCAGGCTCGTCTGACACCTTTGGTGCTGTCTTTGTTCTCCTGGACAACACTGCTTCATGTTCTTGTTTGCGTTTTGATATAAATGTCCTCAGGACTGCAATTGATATATCTCTGTTGTTAACCTGATGTTCATAGAGTTCTCAACTTAGAAACAGTCTTCTCCAGCAAGAACAACACAATGGTAGCCAGTTAGGAAGGATAAGCACTACAACGCCAATAACTACCATGAAAAACCAATGACTATTTAACCTGTTAAGACTTAAGAGTCCACAAGATACTCCCTTACACACAGCCAAATAAAGCAACAAATAAATAATCCAAAAAATATATAGACCGAACCACAAAGGTGTCACCTTATGTCTCTGTCTAATGTCAACAGCAATGCTTGTTTGTTTTCAGACCTTAAAAACCACCCAGAGAGAAGAAACAGGGTAAACTACGTATGCCTACAAGGCAATTCAAGGGATCCGTCATTGGCTTGGAGGGCATTGAGACCGTGATGTTGTAGAATGGTATCGGGAGATATACATAAAAAACAATACTTAGAAAAAAAAATTGAACATGACAAGAGCCTCATGCTATATCATGGCATCATAGAGCGGTATCAGGTGATGCATTGATGGTGACTCAAACAACTTGAGTTGTACATCTCAGATAACTCAGCCGAGTCACATGTATATCTCATAATTTAAATGGAATATAAACCGGTATCAAATCGGTTGGTGCCAAGTCGGATATGACCCTGCCAAGTCAAATCTCGGCTAATATTTTGAACAATGGTATAAGATACATCTTGGGCACCGAATAGTATAAATCTAGGCTGTGTAGCTGACAATGCTAATATCTGATACAGTAGAAATAATTTATTCTCAACAGCAGTTTGAAGAAATATTTATTGAATTGTACACAGAACAACGGATAGTGAAACCTCACAGCACTTCCAAGTTTTCCATCTCAATTGCTAAACAAAAATAAATATCAATTTCACATTGGAGAAAGTGTAATGCGGGCTGAATTAATAACAGGAATTCATGTCATCTACTGTTTCCCAGATTCATTAAAAAACTGGGTAAAAGCCTCGGGTTTCCAAACAACAAGCACATGTTTACATCCTCTCACTCAATCACACAAAGTTCTTAACCTCAGGGTTCCATTACTTCTTTGTCACGGTTGATATTGAATTCCTCCGCCTACAACATTTTGGAGAAAAAAATTTCCCCAAAAGTGTTCAACTGAGCAATAGTATCTCACAAATTAACCCATCATAACTAATAACTTAAAATCCTAAATTATCTCAGCAAGCAACTACAATCTTTGTAACCTCAAAAAATATGCAACCGAAAAGTGAAGAATTGAGCATACTGCTACATATAATACAACTAAAAGCATTACCCTTCTGAGATTCAAATAGATATAACCCCTGATACACTGCCCATTAAAAATTCTCTGAGAGGCCGAATAAAATACATTCTTTCAACAAAAGACAAGATATTTATAACAACATTCAGAAAACCCAAGGAACATATAAGACCTGGGTTTTATTGTAAAAGACTTCGTTTTTGGCATGCATGAGAATCTCCGCCTCTCCCTCTTTGATGATTGTGTAGTCAGTGAGATCAAAAGACATGGTTTTGCTGCCTCTCTGCTTCTCTTCATCCACTGTTTTTTCATCACCACCCATGTCGTATGATAATTGGGAATTGAGCTCTTCTAATTCTGGGTTTTGCTTCTCTTCCTGGCGGCGGAGGAGAAAAGGTGGAGAGAGAAGGGGGGGGGGGGGGGTTTACTGCTGCTTATTGCAAGATTTTAGAGAGTATTGGTGGAGCTTCAGAAAGGAACAAGAGCACGAAAGTGAGGGAGATATATGCAGCACTTGGAAACTGGAAACCCTATCTATCCTCGTACGGTTGTCCTCAATCTGAGATTTTTTTTCTCTTAAACCCTAGTTCTAGTGTTTTGAATTGTACTAAGAAAATGCGTTGTTGTGGGGGTAGAATGGAGCTAAAAAACATTAAGAAAAAGGGAAATTTGTAATTTGTATTTTAAAAAATTCTCACTTTACATTTAAATTTTTATATTATATTTTTAATGTGTTAGCATTATTTTTACTTCGTTACTTATTCCATCAAAAATTAGTTTATTGAAAAGGACGAGATGAACAATAAAAGTGTCATATTATAATAATTTTAACATATTAAGGGTGTAATTTATAAAAGTAAAAATAAGAATTTTTAAATTTTTGGAAGTATAAATTGTGATACCCTAAAAGAAATTATCTTATGAAAAATAAGTTTAAGAAACAATTGTACATCTATATTGCTAATATTAACACTATTAATAAAGGGAAAGGATAGAGTCTAGTGTTCACATTTATAATGTTTGCAATATTACATCTGAAAAGATTTAAAAAAACTTACTTTGTACCTTAAAAAATTAAATTTTTCACATTACACTTTAAATGTATTAAAAATACTGCAACGTGACTTTTCTGTTAATTTACGTTACTCATTCCTTCAACGTTATTCTACTTTTCTCATGCTCTAAGCTAGTTTGATTTACAAAGATGTATTTGCTCGCTTAAAACATCAAAATTCTTAATAAAAAAATTGTCCGACTAAAGATGATTGAAAGGTGGCAAGAGAGATTTGTGAAAAAAATCATAATTATTCCATAATGCAACAAAATTGTTTTAAAGAACAAAGTATTCTACTGTCAATGTATACTTTCTAATTATTTGTGAGATATATAAGTGGTTTTAAAGTCTCAAAAATGTGATAAAATATATGACTTTGAATATGTTGGAAAAATGTAACAAATATTGGAGTGTGATTCATAATGTTATGAAAATAGCCACTGTTTTAAATCTACAGTATAAGTTGAGAATTTTGAAGTATTACTATAAAAAAAATGTATGGAGATGTAGAAGCTTCAAATGAAATGATAAAAATTAAGGAATTTTGCTTGAAATTAGTAGACGAATATGAATCAAGGCAATGAAGTAATTGTGAATCTCAACCTTTTTCTCCCCCTCTTCAATCAAATATGAGTTTCAAATGTCAATTAATTGGTGATTTCTCTGATTTTGACAAGTTTATACAAACAAAAGACATAAAAAAAGCGCATGGGAAGTATGAGCTGGATCGTTACTTAGAAGATGGTATGATACCAAGAATTTTAAATTTTGATATACTATATTTTTTGAAGTCAAGTGGTTCTAAGTATTCTTCTGCTTTAAATAATTGTTAAAGATTTTTTTTTACTCCTGTTTTACTATTGCCTCGAAATCTTCTTTTAGCACAAGTGAGAGGTTGATCAGTTTACATCCTAATAGACTTCTTCCAACTAAAGTAGAGACTTTAATGTGCTTTCAAAGTTGGTGATGAACTTAAGAACGAGGTAATGAAATTATTTGTATGGGTATTATAATTTTGTTTTTTTATGGGGTAGAGTATGAGTATTGCATTATTTTTTTCTCTTAAGTTCATCCACTTTGATGACCCCAAAGAGTTATATATTATTGGAAGATGTTGATATGGGTGATGAGATATAGCATTTGAGTTGAAAATTTGTTTTTGAAAAAATCTAATAGTTTTTTTTTCTTTGAATGATATAGGAAAATGATGTTAAAAAAATAGATTCTATAACCACCGATAGTGTATAGAGGTAATTGAGCTGGTAAATTTTTAATTTTTAACCAATCAATTTTATTAGCAAATATAATTTTTATGCAATTATTATAGTTTTTTATATTTTATTTCTTGATTAAATTACAGGTGTGAAATACATGGAAAAAAAGTTTCTTCATAACAAATATTCAATTAGTATTGAATCTTTGTTGTCTGTGTTATGTTGGATTAGGTTGTGTTGTAGTATGTTGTGTCAGATCTACATAAGAGACAAACTTTTAATTATGTTATTTTTTTTTGAACAATTAATTTTGTTATGTTAAATTATATTGTAGACAAATTTTTAATTATATTATGATATTTTACAATTATGTTGAATTATTTAGAATTTTGGATTATATTGGGTTGGGCTTGGGCAGGGCCAGGTCGGGGATTAGAATTTATTAGCAGACAAGAATGGAGATGAAAACTAGCCCCTAGTCCCGTTAACGAGCATGAACTGGGATGAACAAAATTTATTTAAATAGGTACGGAGGTGGAGACTACTCTCCCTGCCTCCGCCCTCGACCTTGCCCCACCCTAGTCAGTTACCATCCTTGGACCCTAGTTAATGGGGTGGATTTTTATGGAATAAGTAATGAAAGAATCACATTATAATATTTTTAATATATTGAGAGTATAATGTAAAAAATCTCATATTTCAAATTGTAAAATGGGAAAATTAAAATATTTCGGGTTGTAAAGGGTGATTCACCCTAATTATTTTTCTCATAATTTAAGGGGTTTGTGACCCACAGGCTATCCAGTAGCCTGATGATCCATTGGATCATGGTCCCATCAGCCCATCACATGGCAACCCAACAACCCAGTTCAAAGACTTGTCAGAAAACTGAGAAAAAAATAGGCCCACTTAAACCAAATCGATGTGCAGATCATGGGCCACAATTTTGTGTGCCATGACTAATCCGATCTATTAATCATAGGTAATTTAGAAGTTTGTACAAAAATTTAGATTTATTTGAGTTAAACTATATTAAAGAAATTTATTTGGCCATAAGTGTATTTTTTAAAAACTTATTACTTCATTACTCTCTCTCCTCTCTCTCCATTACTCTTTCACTCTCTCTTCCCTATTTGGTCTCTATCTATTTTTCTCTCTTTCTCTTATATTGATGAATTTTTTTTTTTAAATATGTAAAGATTTGATTTAATTTTTTCATCTCTGTCCCCCTATTTTTTCTCTCTCTCACTCCTTCTCCCTTTTATTTCATTATTCTCTATCTTTTTCTCTCTCCTTATATCTACGTTATATAATACAATTATATTAATCAGTTACACCAATTAGTTATAATTACTCTATAATATATTAAACAATTATTCATGTGTTTTAATAAACCAAGCAGTTACACTAAACAATTATACGAAATTACAACATCAACTCAACTTGTCATTTATTTATTTACATAAATAAAAAAGAAACATTATTTAGTATCACAATATAGTTACATCAATTATATAAACTAAATTGAGTTTATCATTACACAAAAAACTTTGTTATTATACTAAATTTGGTATATATGATTGGTGTAACAATGTTTAGATACTAAATAGTGCAACTATTTAATTTATGCAAATAATTGAATGAAAAATTGGGTTGGTGTTATAAATGTGTGTAATTATTTGGTGTAATTGTTTGGTTTATTAGAACTCATGAATAATTGTTTGGTGTATTATAAGACAATTATAACTGATTGATGTAATTGATTAGTGTAATTGTGTTGTTATAATGTTGATAAAGGAGAGAGAAAGAGAGAGAGAGAATATGAGAAAGAGATGAAAAAATAAATCAAATCTTTACATATTTGAAAAAAAAAAATTATCAATGATAGATATATAGAGCAAATAGGGGAGAGATGAGAAAAGTAATGGGAAAGAGAGAGAGAGAAGGAGAGAAAATATGGGAGATATAGTGAAATGATTTAATGAAATCTTTACATATTTAATTAGGTATATAACTGTCAATCAATAATGCAAAATTTAAGAGAGGGTTTTTAGGTAAAACAGTTTTGATTTTATTTGAATTTTGTACCTAAACACAATATATTTTATTAAATTGAACTTAATAAAGTAAACAATTTATTCATACACTTTTTTTCAAATAAATCTAAAAAATTGTATCCACGGCAAAAAAACCCATTAATCATTCAAAGGCTCGATAGTCAAACCCACGAGCTATCCAGCCCAACTCGATGAGGATTTGTACACGTCGACATATTAAGAATAGGCAATTTAGTCTTTAAATAAAGGAAAATACTACTTAGACAAGAGAACATACCGTATCTAATTTACTCATACATAATTAATCTATTTATAAGTCTTTATAGTTATGTCTATTCTATGTTGAGTTCACACATGGATATGTCGAATGTAGATATGGCTCAACCCCTATTGTGATCCTAGTTTATAAGAGTAAACTCGTGTTTAGTAATTTGATTTCGTGTTGAATAATGAGACTCTTATGTACTAAAGACGTATGCATTGATTATGTTACAAAACAATGTTGACCCAAGAAACAAGAATCTCATCAAGACATTCAAATTACTATGATACATTTGATGACGAAGTTAAAATTGTACAAAGATGTTTTCATTTGTGACAAGAAATCCCGAAAATTAAATAGAGTTAGCTAAAACAATTCCATGCTGATACTGCATAGATGGGTCGATCATGCCAACATATCATCAAGCTTGTTTTCTGACTGATTATTTTATAACCATCTGATCCATATGCTTCTACTAATCGCCTCGCATCCTCCATCGTCTCATACCACAGACGCACTGGCCTGAACCCTGCTCTAGCAAACCTAACTAACCACCTTGCGTATCTCTCATGCCTCTCCTCCCTCTCTAGCCCTTCACATGCCACAATATTCTCAATTTCATTTCCAAACATCTCCTCCAATGCAAATCGCTCTTCACACGAGGATCCCCCAAAAGTGGCATCAATCGAGTCAAATACTGCGCTATAATAATGTAATCCTTCAACAAACCTGTCCATCAAACGGTTTAAATTATGATCAGATTCTGGCTCAACTACTAGCATTATCTTTGGTAACATTGATTGTACCATTGCTAGAAATTCACCCATTTGTTTACAATCTTTGACACCATTATTTTTGTTAAGTCCAAAATGTGTATCAACGCGATCATCCTCGGACAATAAGACGTGGAGATTAAACACCGACGCCAACGCCAATGCTTCTCCGGATCTCACTTTAAGCATGTCCAAAGTAAGTTCTCCAAGACGGACATTTACTGGGTTAAATTGAAAGGGCATGTCCAAGCTTTCGGTCTCTTTCACCACCTTTGCACCTAATTTCTCTAGCACAAGTTTGTTGCTATGCACACACGTGATCTTCACATGGGGAGGTCCTTGTGGCGAGTGCGCGAAGCTTCGAAGAAGCGGGACCCACAACTTTGGGTCACCGCAGCCCAAATCGATGATATGGATAATACGCTCATTGCACATGGTTTGGATCAAGGTTCGAGTTATGATGGCATAGGCAAAGCCCATGTAAGGGAAGGCCCGAGTGAAGATGGCCCGTGTCCGGTCTAAATCAGCACATGCTGGTCCAGCATGATTCAAGGCCTTATAAACCCCAGGCCAACGCTTAATAATGCGAACAGCCAAGGAGGAGGCAAATCGGGCCGAGAGCCGCTGCATGGAGTCACCGGTGACGGAGGCAAGCTGGGAAATTTGCTGGAGACAAGCATCAGCACGGTGGAGGTTGCCGGAGGATGCATGGTTAGCACATGTCAACAACAGCTGGATGAGTTGAATCCCTCTTTCTTCGGGCTTCAACGCTTCAATAAGAGTACTAGGGGATGGTAGAGTTAAGGAGAGGGAAACGTCGGGCCTTGGCGATGGCAATGGCAATGGCGATAGGGACGAAGAACTCATCGGAATTTCTCAGCTAAATTTTTAAGAACTAATGTTTTTGCTATGTTCTTCACAAGAAGGGTTTGGGGTATCTTATAAGAGCTATATGGGAATCATATATTCAAAGTACAAGAGGAGCAGGTGAGAGAATATGGAACCATTGCTGTTGGAAGTATGCTATACTTCCAAGTAGTATAGGCACAAAATAACATATAGAATTTTATGTAGTTACCCTTTTGGATTATAGTTGGTCAAAGAACAAAATTTTTTTTCTAACTGGTTGGCTCACCCACCCTTGTCATAAAAAAGGGTATTTCCAAAGAGAAATTGATGGGTAAATTTGTTTTAATCTCCTACTTTGTTTTCTAGTTCAAAAACCCATTAAACATCACATATAACATTTTCGTTTTTTTCTTTGTGTTTTTTTGTGCTCAGAAAGTTTGCATAGAGGTATCATATGGACTACTTTTTGTTTTGAAAGGACTACAATGTTCCACGAGTTAATTTAGATTAGAAGTAGAGGTGCTAAATAGGTGGATTGAGTTGGTTATAAATTGATTCAAAATGGGTTTGGGTGCAAAATAAATATATTCCGTTCTCAACCCAATTAATTAACGGGTTATAAATTGCATCAAATAAAAGAGAGGATATTAATGGATTAGATCATAATATGTTGAATTAAACTCATAAACCCATAAAATAATTAAAACTCTTAATATAAACACATACTAATGTACCAAATAAAACACATGTTAATACACAAAAAACACACGCACAAACATACTAGGGTCGGGGTCCGGGAGTTAACAGTTGAGTAAAAATATTGATTTGATACAAGACATTCTAATGAACAAACTTAAATTTAAAAGAGGACAAACTTAAATTTAAAGTTGGACAAACTCAAATTTTTAAAAATGTGAAATATGGTCATTAGATCTTTTAAATGATTAAAATCTGACTATTGAAGATTTGCATAAAAAATTGAGTCCATTGATTTGAGTAAAACTTTGAGTTTCCCTTTATTTGATATGTATTTAAGTAAATAACTGAATGTTGTTTTTGGTATATTTTTACTCAAATTTAAGTAAAGGCTTGAGTAAGAATTGAAGATGTTGTAAGAAATTAAAATTTTGAGTCTTACAACCAACAAACTATAATCACAAGGTCGAAAAAATCTTCATTGGATCCCCCACCTGCTTGAATTATGGTTAGTAATTCTAAACATGACCGGATAATTTGACATGCAATCGAAATAAATGCATAATGCATGCATGGTTTTAGTTATTAATGGGTTCGGATCAATATTAATTTCACTTATCAAATTCTATTAACAAATGAGTTAGATATAAGTTTAACCAAATTCGACATGACACAATTTAAACATGAACCGAAATGATATGAAATTTTTTAATACAACTAATCAGCTTGACATAAATCAACAAGAAGTTATGGGGTATAGGTTTAGCACACTAATGAGTCCGGATCGTAATCATATTTACTTGGTAAATTTATTTAGTAAACATAATGTGTATGGAGTGAAAATTTTTTAACATGATACAGTTGAAACAAACTCCTTGCAGGAGACTAAGGTGAATACTAAGGTGTGACAAAAACTAAATGGGAAGGCAGTGTGTATGAACGGGCCAATAAAGTAGCAACTCATGTGTTCATTTCTATCTGTTTGATTGTTTTCCACTTTCCATCAAGACTTTTCTCTGCATACGTACATGCATGCAATGCAAAACTAATGTCTGTACTCATCAGAAACGTCTTGAATCTCTGCCAATATCGTACATGTGAATGGTGGTAATATTAGGAGACGCCAGGAACTATATGCCACTAATTGCTTCATTATAACAACTACTGTATGCTTTTCAAACACCAAACTTTTGTACAATTTTGTTCTCCCAGTCACAAAATGACTGGACCATCTTGCCAAATGTGACTTTTCATTACCTCACCATTTGAAGTGGTATCCTCCTCAGCTACCATAATTTTTGATTACGTGAGAGAGAGAGAGAGAGAGAGGGAGAGAGAGAGAATTTCAATAGCAACATAAGGGAAACTCCAAGAAAAACAATGACAAAGGAACTTTTAGTCTTGGAAAAATGCTATTTAGACATAATTCAATGCAATCATTGATATGGGGTGTTAATTGATATGAGCTATTCGAGTTCGGCTCGAGTTCGATTCGTGTTTTAAACGAGTTGAGCTAAAATAATTTTTTAGATTTGTTAGAAAAATGAGCCTAAAAGAAGTTCAACTAGAACTTGCAAAGCTCCGCTCATTTATATATAAAATAGTCGAACTATTCAAATTCGGGCTCAGCTCATTTTTTGAACAAGCCGAGCTTAAACAATTTTTTAGATCTATTTAAAAAAACGAGCCCAACAAACTTGAACTCAAGCTCGTAAAACTCGACTTCATTAACACTCATAATCATTGGATTGAAAGTAAGTTCCACCTAACGTCGAAACATAGAACTAACCTAATAACTGTATTGAATTAAGTTAATGATTAAGTTCCCAAATTAAGTCACTATAGTTACCCTTTTGGATTATAATTGGTCAAAGAACAAAAAAATTTCCAATTGGTTGGCTCACCCTTGTCATAAACAAGGGTATTTCCAAAGAGAAATTGATGGGTAAATTTGTTTTGGTCTACCACTTTTGTTTTCTAGCTCAAAACCCCATTAAACAGCACATATAGATTTTTTTTTTTTTTTTTTCTGATATGAACTACTTTTTTTTTTTAACTTGGAACGAGGACAATGGCGTTCCACAAGTTAATTTAAATGGTCAAAACTTTTAAATAGTACGAAAAAGTTAGGAATTTGAGTCTTACAACCAACAAAAAATCGAAAAAATCTTAATTGGATCCTCCATCTGCCCGAATTATGGTTTGTAATTCTTAACATGATTTGATATAATTTGACATGATATCAAAATAAACGCATCATGCATGCATGGTTTTAGTTCTTAATGGGTTCAGATCAAATCGATTTGACATAAATCAACAAGAAATTATGGAGTTTAGGATAAATATATTTTTTTTAACACGATACAACTTTAACAAACTCCTAGAGTAGACAAAGGTGAATACTAAGGCCTGACAAAAACTACGTGGTAAGGCGGTGTGTATGAGCAGGCCACCCATCTTTCTACACACACACACGTACGTGTGTATGAAATTGATTTATCTGTTTGTTTGGGCTTGACTCTGTTTTTCAAATCCCTCTTCATTTGGTCGGTTGATTCAGATGAATGGTGTGGTAATATTAGCAGTCAGCAACAGTGCCAGGAACTATAAGACATTGGCTCCATAATATATCAATTAATATATGCATTTTCATATACAAACTTTAGTACAATTTGTTCTCCTACTCACAAAAATGACAGGACCATCTTGCCAAATGTGTCTTTCATTACCTCACATGAAGTGGTATCCCCATCACGTACCATAATTTTGATTAAGGGAGAGAATTTTAATGTCAATCAAGAAAAAGGGGAACTCCAAGAAGAACAATCAAAAGGTAGCTTTTGGTATTATATGATGAACAAATATATGTAAAAAAGAGTAATGGTAGTAGGATCTAATTTACTGACTTAATTTACTATAACCTTTAGATTTATTGTAGAACCCATTAAATATTAAAATTTGGTGTTGATCTAATGATTTTAATGAAACCACGCATTAGGTTAATAAATTATGTCAAATTTTTAAGTACAAATAACATGCATTATTATGTGAAAAGTTTATTGGCATGGATGGTGATGATGCACAAAATGGTTTTGCACACCATCTGTCAAGTGTGAATAATAAATGCAATAAAATAATATTAGGAGATGGAGAGACACAGACAATATATAGTGGTTCGGTCAGCTTGACCTACGTCCACTCTTCGATGGCTCTGGTTGCTGGGTATTTTATTAACTTAAGGGTGTGGGGAACAGAGAGTACAATCTTTGAGGGATAGGAGAGAGTCGTGCTCAAATAAAGTATGATATGCCCCTCAAGTGTTGGTGGAACTTACAATTTATAGTCACCCTCCTAATAGATTTGGGCAAGATATTAGTAAGCAGTTGGCTAGTTTGTTGGATCTGACGAGCTCTTCTCAACGTGCTAGGTAGTTGCGGTGCTCTCCATGAGATTCGGTCAAAAGATGAGGTGGGGTGTTGACCATCTTCAAGGCAGCGAGGATAGGACTTTGGATGACCTTATTTGTTCCCTTAGCTCCTTGAGCTGCTGAGCTTGATCGGTCTGACCACACTGATGAGCTTTGATCGGGTAGAACTGATGAGCTTGAATAGGTTGAGCTGATGAGCTTGACCGAGTTGGCCACACTGAGCTGGATTTGCTAGATCTCTTGGAATCGGACCATAAACTTGAACTGGGCTTATAACATGAGTAGGGCCTTTGGGCTTGACCCATCATTTGCCCCCCAATGCCCTGTGTCCAATGAAACTTGGAAAGGAGGGCATTCGATTAAGTTTGAATTTTCGGCAGCACAATTGAAAAAACTTCAGGAGGCCAAAACATTTGCTTCCAAGTCTTTTTTGGACTTTTTACAGAATCAATCACAGCCACAGGCTGTGTGTTTTGTAGGGCTCGCCGAGAACTTCGATTGGATATATTATAAGTCTCATTTAAAGTAACGGAGCAGAAGTTATGGTCAAAACTTCAAGCGGAGAGCTAGGCGAGTAGTTTGAGTGAGCAGGCAGCTTCGGGGTGAGTTGGGCACTGTCCTGGGAGAGCTAGGCAGAATTTTTTTATTTTTTTTTAAATTTTGGGAGGCCAAAACATCTGTTTTTGGGTCTTTTTTGGACTTTTTACACCATCAATCACAGCCAAAGGCTGTGTGTCTTGTATGACTCTTTAAGAACTTCGATTTGATATATAATAAACCCTTGTTTGAAGTTATAAAGTAAAATTTACGGTCAAAACTTTGAGCAGACAGCTAGACGCGCGTTTTGGGAGAGCAGACAGTGTTTTGGGCGAACCTGGAGCTACCTTGGACAACC